TTCCCAGCTGATGATGCTATTGGGAACTGGTGGAGTCTTTAAGAAGCATGGCCTAGTGGAAGGAAGTCAGGAGTGTGCCCTGATGCACTGGACAACAGGAACAAAATTTTTGTTAGACAGGAGGAATACATTCTGACATCTAATGGACAGCATGGTGACTGTAGTCAATAATGCTGTAGTGTATACTTGAAAATCACTGAGTAGATCTTAAATGTCCTCACCACACAAAAAAACTTAAGTTTGTGAAACAAATGTTTACTAGCTTTTCTCAATGTATACATATACCAAAGCATCACATTTTACACTAAATTTGCAACTTTTGTCAATTAATTATACCAAATAAAGTTGATTGAAATTAAAAAAGGAACTATGACTTAAAAAAAATAGAAATTAAAGCTAAAGCTTAGCATGGTGGCTCAGGCCTGTAACCTTCACTATTTGGGAGGCTGAGATTTGGAGGATCACAGTTTCAGGACAGCATGGACAAAAAGAAGTTCGAAAGGCTTTTTTTTCCTCAACAGAAAAAGCTGGGCATGGTGGTATATGCCTGTCATCCCAGCTGTGGTAGAGAGCACAAATATAGGAGGATTGTAGCCCAAGCCAGCCTCGGTTAAAAGCAAGATCCTATCTTAAAAATAACCAAAGCAAAAAGGGCTGGAGGTGTGGCTCAAGTAGTAGAGTGCCTGCCTATCAAGAGAGGCCCTGAGAGTTCAAACGCCAGTGCAAAAAAAAAGAAATTAAAGCTGAGAAACACTTGAAAAGATTTATTGATTTGTTTTAAAGTAACAGAAGCCTATTATTACATTGTACATAAATAGTATACTTTTGTGAAAACTATTTCCAAAACATAAATAACTTGTGAGAGAAGTAGCATTATTTTAGTTACAAAAGTCACAGTCTGACTTGACATAAGCTGGATTTGGATGTCTGCTACTGGGCTATCATAGTACTACACTAGAAAATTACTTTTGTGTTGTTATGAAACAGATGTGACCTTGTAGAGGGCCTGAAAGGGTGTTGAGGATCCCAGGAACCCACACTGAGAATCACAGGTTTAGGGATCCTAGGGATGCTCATGGGATGGAGGCTGGCTTGACAAGTCATTTAGGAGCCACGGACAGAAGGAACAGCAATGGACACCTGGTGGAGGATGGGAAGGAGGCATGGAGGTAAAGCATTCCAGGCAGTGGGAAGCATATGCTGAGCCCCAGAAACAAGTACATTTGAGAGACAACTGGCCAATATGGCTAGAACTCAAGGCAGTAAAGCCAAGCTAGGGACTCTGGTCTATAAGCAAAAAGAAAGCCATTGAAGGAATTTGGAGATGTAACATCAAATCTGCATGTTTAAAGCACCACCCTCAAGAATGGCAATCAATTACTAGAGATAGACATAAACTAAATAACCAAATATACAACACATTTTTTATTTTTTTTTACTGTACTGGGGTTTGAACACTGGGCCTCACGCTTGGTAGTTAGGTGCTCTACCACTTGAGCCATTTGTCTCAGCCCTGTTTTTGTGTTGGGTATTTTTCAGATAGGGTCTCATGAACTATTTGCCTGGGCTGGCTTCAAACAGCAATCTTCTTGATCTTTGCCTCCTGAGCAGTCAGGATTATAGGCAAAAGCCACTGGTGCCTAACCACAACACATTTTGTTTTTAAAAGTAAACAATGATTTGACAATAATTTCATGAACAATACAGCAAAAGCACAGGCACTGATTGTGATTTCATCACAACTGTTTTGAAGAGTGAAAAAGACAGCCTACAGAAAGTGAGTAAATATTTGTAAATCAAATCTGAGATATCAATCTGAGAAAGCATAAATATCCAGAATACATAAAATACATATAAAATGCACAACAAAAAATCCAATTTGATTCTAAAATAAGTAAAGGGCTTGACTAGACCTGTCTCCAAAGAAGATACACAGGTGGCCAATAAGAACACAAGATGATGTTGATACATCACTAGTCATTAGAGAAATGCAAATCAAATCACGATGATACAGCCATACACCCATTAGGATGCCTATTATTAAAAATAAATAAATAAAAAACAGACCAAGGGTTGTTCAGACTGTGGACACTGGCATCTTTGCACAATGCTAGTGGGAACGTAAAATGGTGAAGTTGCTGTGGAAACAGGAGGTAGTGCCACAAAAAATTAAATACAAAATCTTATTTGATGTAGCAATTTCACTTCTAGGTAAACACACAAAAGAATCCAAAGCAGGGACTCAACATGTTTTGATTCTGCTGGTATGAATTTGGTAGCCAAATCATAAAAAAAAGTAGCATGGCTGACAGGGCTATGGGCAGGAAGGAGCAGTTGACTGATAAGAGTTTGAGCTTGGGATGATGAAAAGTTCTGGAGATGGTTGCACAACAATGTGAGTGTGAGTAATGCCACTGAATTGTACAATCAAAAATAGTTAAAAGGGTAAATTGTACATTATGCTTACTTTATAAAACTGAAAAAAAACAAAGCAAAAATAGGAACTCAAAAGAGTTATTACTCACCTGGTCCAAATGTATGGAACATATCCTTTCTTCTCAACAACCTTAATTTACAACTTCCCTATTCTACTAAAAGCAAGATTTAAAATACTTGTCCAAATACCCACCCAGCCAGAGATTACCTAATTTTCACTCATAATGTACCAACCCCAAATATAAAGACCTTAGCACTCTCATAGTACAAAACCTTTGGAGTTTAAAAGTCCAATATTTTAGATTTTTATTCCATTAGTTTAAGGATTTCAAAAATGTATAAGACCTTAAAACACTGAACTAGACTTGGTCAAACTAGAAGAAATAAGATTCATTGTACTTTTCAAACAGATTCTGAATTATAGTTTTAAACACTATGTTAGTCTGGCAAATGCCATATAAGAGTAAGCAGTAAAGGCAACCAAGCAGATGCTCTCTCCCTATCAGCTTGGATAAGTGTCAAAGCCACCAGAGAGCTGAACACTAACGTGTAGCTTTCTTCTTCACTCAAACATTTACTTCTGAAAATGGTGGCATGTCACCAAACAGTACCTAAGTAGTTTTAAATAAAGCAAATTTACATGTTCAAAAAAAAAGTAATCTAATATAATATGTACATCAAAAGGAGATGAAAGATACCAAACAGATCTACTGTTACTATTTTAGTGACAGGGAAGGTATACAATAGCCAATATTAGTTAAAACAAAAATGCTCCAAACTATAGCTGCATGTGTATGGTAAAAAGATAGAAAGGTATAAAAATGAGTGGTTACCTCAACTGCCAATTTTTGTCAAATGTATTTATTTATAACCAAAAGAATAAGTTTTACAATGTATAAAACTTAATGCAATTGAGATATGGTGCTATAAAAACTATTAACATAAGCCACCCATGGTGGTGCACATCTATCATACCAACTACTTAGGAGGCAGAGGCAGAAGGTTTCTGAGTTCTAGGCCAGCCTGGGCAAAGTTAGCAAGACCATGTCTCAAAATACAAACAAAAGGGCTGAGGAATGTGGCTCAAGCAGTAAAGTGCTTGCCTGGCAAGCTTGAAGCCCTGGGTTCAATCCCCAGTACTGCAAAAAAAAAAAAAAAAAAAAAAAAGGAAAAAGTTAAATTTTCAAGGGTGAGTGCATACTTTGCATAGTATGCTTCAGTTACCTGGCATACCCTCTTTTCTCTTCATGTTTATAAGCATGTTTATTATGCACTTACTTTATACTCTGTGACTCTAAGTGCCAAGGAGATGAACAAACCCAGTTTCTCTTGTCATGGAACTCACACTCTGGTGGAATTTATTTTCATAAAACACTTTCTGACTAGCAGCAAATGACTAAAGCATTAGTATTGGAAAATAATTTTCCAATCCTCCCAGGCTAGTCCCCACTTGGGACTATATTACCATCCTCTATGATCAATGAAAAAACTATTCACATACACGTTTCACTCTCCAAGTCAGCTGGGATCTGAACATTCTACATGGAAAATACAATTTATGGTTACTTCCAGACATGTTTCTTGTCTTTAGTTTTAAGTACCCTTCATATGCAGATTTCTTGCTCCTTTGTTCACCAAATGTAATATAAACCAAGATTTTTAATGTTTGCACTATACATATATATGTCTACATATTACATACACACACACACACACACACAAACACACACACACTCTGTCTTTAGAAAAAACAATTTTCACTGGGCACTAGTGTCTCACACCTGCAATCCTAGCTACTCGGGAGGCTGAGATTGGAAGGATCAAGTTTCAAAAGGCCAGCCTTGGCAAACAGTTCATGAGAACCATGTGCAAAATAGCCAGAGCACAAATGACTAGAAGCATGGCTCAAGTGGTGGACCACCAGCTATACAAGCCTAAAACCCTGAGTTCAAACCCCAGTCCCACCAAAAAAAAAAAAAAAAAAAAAGACAATTATCACCAGGTATGGTGATACACACTTGTAAACTCAGCTACTCAAGAGATGGAAGCAAGATAGAGATTTTGATGCCAAAGTCCAGGTAAACACACTGTCTCAAAAACAAAAGGGGCTGGGAACATAGCTCATGTGGTAGAGCACCTGCCTAGCAAGTGTGGGAGAATAAAAAGCAAAGGAAACATAGCTAGGCAGGTATGACGCAAAATACAAGAAGCTGACTTCATTGATACAAACTATTTCCTTGGTCTCTATATGGACCTAAGATAAAGCCCCTGGCTTAATGCTTTTAAAGAGTATTTACTGATACCTAGCTGCTATACTAATATGCAAAATATGTGAAATGGCTCATTAGGGTCATCAATCAAAGAATAAACAGACAAAACCCACCACACACCCTCCTCTAAAATTTTATAATAAAGCTGAAAGCTTGAGTAAATATTTTCTTCCCTCCTGGGAGACTCACAAAGATGACAGAGTAAGCAATTATTCACAAGCAACTGTCAGGCATTCATTGCTAATGAAAACTAGTAAGCTGAAATTAACAGGAAAATATTTTAATGATATTTTATAGCACAAAATAATTAGAAGAAAGTGAGACAGTTCACCTAACCATAAGTTACACTCCATGAACCTCATGTATCCTACCAGCATCGTCTTCTCCATTGCTCCTCTCGAGGCACAGTATGAGTGATGTATCCAACAAAGGTCTCTCTTGGGTTCTCATCCTGACTTGTTAGTCACATGCAATATGACTCAAAGCCATCCATCTCTGCAGGTCCAAAGGATGGTTCCTCCATTCTGAAGGCTCACTTCAATTGCTCTCAGCTCCTTTCAGACTGGACTTCTGATTTCTTCTTTCCTTCTGACCCTGAATCCGGTAGAGCTTCTTCCTGAGGTCCTTCTGCCGCTTAAGCTTCTCTTCCTCCTCCTTCTGCTTCATCTTCACATGTTCCTTGTTCTGTAGATGCCTCTGCTCCTTGGCCTTCTTCATCTTCTGACTGTGCACAGTGCTCAGAGCATCCAACAGAGCCAGGATCTGACAAGGACAAATGCGGTGAGCCCCAGGTTAGTCACACAGCCATGGAATACTTGGGAGCTACTTTTCAGGGGTCTGAGCAATTGTGCCAATGGTATCAAAACAAGATTCAATCCACGACCCAAGTAAATGTTAATCTAGTGAAAATTCATCCGGAACTAAGAATCACAATTTGCATGGAGATGCAGTCATGAGTGTATTTTACCTTTGTTATAAAACCACACCTGTTCACCACTCTATGGATACCTTATGCAATTAGCTAGGATATAGTAGTTCACCAGTCATGTGTCTATTACTCCCCATTCAAACAAATACATGTGGTGGAACATGATTAATCAAAGGATGGAAAATGGACTCTGGCTCTTCCTTCAACTTCCAGTTCTAAGGCCTTGCCTAAGTCTGGCTCTTATCTGTTCCTGATAAAGTAGCAATGCTAAGTGTGGGCCAGGTGTGGTGGTACATCCAGGAGTAGAAGGTGGGACAATCATGAGTTTGAGACCAGCCTGGGCTACAGAATGAAACCTTCATCCAAATTAAAAAAAAAGACAAAAGCTAACCGTGTCACTGAAAACACTGCTTTCTAAATGCAATGGCAATGGTCTACTGACAGTACCTTCCTCTCGTGAGGCTCACGGATGACGGCCGGTCTCCACTTGTCCTTCGGCACCTTGCCTGCCTTTGCTTGGGTCTTGGGCTTGTTCTTAAATGGCAGAGCTTTCTGCAAGGCTTTCGGAATGTGCAGTGAATTAAAATGCTTCCTTTGTCTCAGAACAGGCTGAAAAGAAAAGTAAAACAAACACTATGAAATACTATGAAATGTATGTTTAGATCTTTTGTGTAAAAGAAAATCAATGGATAGACTTATCCACAAGAACAGTAATTAGTTTTGATGGATATTGTATAGATTGCCTCGATGGACATTGACATCTCTAGCCAAACAGAGGAATATACAGATCAAATTTATAATAATTCCAAGAAATCAACTGTGTGTGTCCATTTCTATAGAATGGAGCCTCAACAGAAGTTAAAAAGAGATTCAGCCCAGGTGTAGTGACTTACACCTATAATCCTAGTTACTCTGGAGGTGGAGATTTGGAGGATAAAGGTTCAAGATCAGCCCCTGCAAAAAGTTCTCGAAACTCAATCGATAAACACCTGAGAGTGGTGGTGAGTACCTATTATTCCTGCTATGTGGGCAGCATATATAAGGATCGTAGTACAGACTGGCCCAGGTATAAACAAAAAATCCTATTTAAAATATACCTAAAGTAAAAAAGGTCTAGGGGCGTCACTCAAGTGGTACAGTGTCTACCTGGCAAGTGTTAAGACCCTGAGTTCAAACCCCCAGTATTCACTAAAAACAAAACAAAAAACACCACCAAACAACCAACAACAACAAAACCAGATTCAGACTTGGAACACTGAGATGGTTTTCTTCCAGCCTAATAAGAATAATCTAGCTTTGAATTTTGATTATCAACCTCTCTGCGATTAAGGACACAGTCTTTCCTCAGAAGCCTGAGTCTAAGAAGTTTAACTTTGTTTCTGATGGAAGGCTGGCAGGAGAAAAGTGAGATTTAAATATACTTGAAGGTCACTGAAATCTAAGGTAATCTAAATTCTGTTCAAATGAAGTAAGATGATCTAAAATGTTAACTGTCTCAGAGACTGTATCAATACTTCTCCAAAAAGAGGAAGCACCACAGACTGGATAACAGGCACCATATCCTGAGTCTATTTCAAGAAAAACTATGTAAGATTACCCAAATTTCATTTTTGACTATTTTATAGTATAAGCAGTGCCTGTGAAACTGTTTCTAGCAGAATGGCAGACTGATATCCTGAACTTCCTCTTAGTATAAAACAACTGAGTGTCCTGCATCAAAACAAACAAATCTGTTAAGCTGTGAAGAAAACAATGAAAGTTCTCAAGGAGTAAAATTAACATAAAAATATGAATTCAGACAGACACCAAAAAACTAAAATAAAAAAATACTGATGAGGCCATCTATTGACAAGGATATGGAAGACTGAGAAGTTCTTGTGCAGTTTCAGTGGGTAGCTTTAGAACCAACTAGGCACCCTACACTGAAGCTTAGCACGTGTGTACTCTGGAGCTCAAATCCCACCCAGAGGTGACTTTAGAACACTCCAGGCATCCAGAGAGCAAGAAAAGAACAAAGGCTCTACAAAACAATGAAATAATTAACAAAATGGCACAAATAAGTCGTTAATTATCAGTAATAACCATGACTGTAAAATGGATGCACAAAGTAACTGAGTAGATAAAAAATAAGCTCCAATTATATGCTGCCTAGAAAAGACCCATTTTAGCTTAAGGACACACAAGTTAGAAGTGAAGGGAGGGAAGAAGATAATCCATGCAAATAATAAGTAACAGGGGTAGTAACTATACTTATACCATATAAAATAGACTTAAAGGCAAAAACTGTTACAAGGGACAAAGGTCACCACAGAATGATAAAGGGACAATTCAGCAAGAGGACATTAACAACTGTAAACATATATGCACCCAACTTGTATGCAATTAGAGAGCAATAAAATATTAGGGACTGCAATACCCCAAGCACCCCACTTTCAATAATGACAGATCAACCAGAAAGAAAATAAGGAAGTACTGGACTTTAACTTCACTTTAGATCAAATGTAATTAACAGACATATAAAAATTTCCCATCAGCAGCAGCAGAAGGTAAGCATACACAGGGAATTACCCAGAATAGACATGTTAGGCCACAACAAAAGTGTAAACAAACTCGAGAACAATGAAATCATTGTTTCAGATAACAAAGAATGAAACCAGAAATCAAGAAGAGGAATCTTGGGAAATTCATAAATATGTGAAAATGAGCACACGAATGAATAACTAATAGGTCACAGAAGAAATCAAGAGAAATTTTAAACAATCAAGACAAATAACCATGAAAATACAACATACCAAAACCTGTAAGATGCAGCAAAAGCAGGATTATGAGGGAAGTTTATTGCAATAAATGCCCACATTAAATAAAGACAATCCCAAATAAATTGCCTTACATTGAATGCCTCAAGGAGCTCAATAAAGGTGAACAAAGTAAACTCAAAGTGAATAGGAGGGAAATAAAGATCAGAACAGATATAAAATTAATAGAAAAAAGAGAATATAAGGGAAAAAAAAAAAACAAGAATAGATTCTTGAAAAAAAAAAAAAAATCAACAAAACTCCTAGCCAGACTAATTAAGAATTTAGAAAGCCAAACCAGAAATGAAGACATCTCAACAGATGCCTAAAAAATAAAAAGGATCACAAAAGACTTATGAACAATTATATGACAACAAACTGGATAACCTAGAGGAAAGGGATAAACTGCTAGAAATCAGGAAGACATGAATAGACCAATAACAAATACTGAAATTAAGAACTTTCCAACAAAGAAAAGTCCAAGACTAAATAGTTTCCTAACTGAATTATACCAAACACTCAAATAATTATTATCAATACCTCTTAAACTCTTTAAAAAAGCAGGACTAGAGTGAATACTTTCAAGATTTTTCAGGACAGTGTCACCTTGATACCTAAGTCATACAAAGATAAAAGAAAACACACTATAGGATGGTATGTTTCATGAACACTGTCACAAACGTCCTCAATAAAATATTAGCAAATTTTGCTAATATACATTGAAAAGATTGCATGTGATGACAATGTAGGATTTATCCCTAGTACATAAAGCTAGTTTAACATATGCAAATAAATCAATGTGATATACCACATTAACAAAATGGATGATACAAACCACATGATCATTTCAATGATGCAGAAAATGAACTGACATGCTGCCTATAGGAGACCCACTCCATCAACAGAAATAAGCACTGGCTGAGAGTGAAAGGCTGGAAGAAGATTTACCAAGCCAGTGGCCCCCGAAAACAGGCAGGGGTAGCAATGCTTATCTTGGACAAAGTAGACTTCAAACCTACATTGATCAAACGAGATAAAGAAGGACACTCCGTAATAATAAAAGGAGAAATACACCAAAAGGAAATAACAATTATCAACCTATATGCACCCAATGTCAGTGCACCCAATTTCATCAAAAATACTCTGAAGGACCTAAAAACATATATAAACTCCAACACAGTGGTAGTGGGAGACCTTAATACCCCTCCATCACCAACAGATAGGTCATCCAAACAGAAAAATCAATAAAGAAATCCTAGAACTAAATCACACCATAGATCAAAAGGATCTCGCTGATGTCTACAAAATATTTCATCCAACTGCTGCACAATATACATTCTTCTCAGCAGCTAACAGAACCTTCTCCAAAACTGATATCTTAGGGCACAAAGAAAGTCTCAGCAAATATAAGAAAATAGAAATAAACCCATGCATTCTATCTGATCACAATGCATTAAAACTAGAAATCAACAACAAAAATAGTAGTAAAAAGCATGCAAACAATTGGAAGCTGAATAACACATTGCTCAATAACCAATGGGTCATTCATGATATAAAAGAAGAAATTAAAACGTTCCTGAAAGTTAATGAAGATGAAAACATGATGTACCAGAACCTATGGGACAGAGCAAAGGCAGTCCTAAGAGGAAAGTTTATAGCCATGAGTGCATATATTAAAAGGACAGAAAGATCTCAAATCAATGACCTAACACTACAGCCCAAGCTCCTAGAAAAACAACAAGCAAATTCCAAAACAAGCAGAAGGAGAGAAATAATTAAAATAAGGGCTGAAATCAATGAAATAGAAACAAACAAACAAACAAAAAACCATACAAAGAATCAATGAAACAAAAAGCTGATTCTTTGAACAATAAGTAAGATTGACAGACCCCTGGCAAACCTGACTTAAAATGAGGAGTGAAAAAACCCAAATCAGTAAAATCAGAAATGCAAAAGGGGAGATAACAACAAATACCATGGAAATCCAGGAAATCATCAGTGACTACTTTGAGAGCCTATACTCTAATAAATTTGAAAATTTTGAAGAAAATGGACAGATTTCTAGATACTTATGACCATCCAAAACTGAACCAAGAGGATATTAATCACCTGAATAGATCTATAACACAAAACAAAATTGAAGCTGCCATCAAGAGCCTCCCAAAAAAGAAAAGTCCAGGACCTGACGGATTCACTGCTGAATTCTATCAGACATTTAAAGAACTAATACCAACTAAACTGTTCCACGAAATAGAAAGGGAAGGAACACTGCCTGACTCATTCTATGAAGCCAATATTACTCTTATCCCAAAACCAGACAAAGACACCTCCAAAAAGGAGAATTATAGGCCAATTTCCTTAATGAACATCGATGCAAAAATCCTCCATAAAATAATGGCAAACTGAATCCAACAACACATCAGAAAGATCATCCACCATGACCAAGTTGGCTTCATTCCAGGGATGCAGGGGTGGTTCAACATACGTAAATCTATAAATGTAATACAACACATTAATAGAAGCAAATACAAAAACCACTTGATCATGTCAATAGATGCAGAAAAAGCCTTTGACAAGATCCAACACCACTTCATGATAAAAGCTCTAAGAGAACTAGGAATAGAAGGAAAGTACCTAAACATTGTAAAGGCTATATATGACAAATCTACAGCCAACATCATACTTAATGGAGAAAAACTGAAACCATTCCCTCTAAAATCAGGAACGAGACAAGGGTGCCCACTATCCCCATTCTTATTCAACATAATACTGGAATTCCTAGCCAAAGCAATTAGGCAAGAAGAAGAAATAAAAGGAATACAAATAGGTAAAGAAACTGTCAAAATATCCCTATTTGCAGACAATATGAGTCTATACCTTAAAAACCCAAAAAACTCTACCCAAAAACTCTTAGACACCATAAACAGCTATAGCAAGGTGGCAGGATACAAAATCAACTTACAGAAATCATTAGCTTTTCTATACACTACAACAAACAAACCGAGAAGGAATATATGGAAACACGTCCATTTACAATGGCTTCAAAAAAATCAAATACCTAGCAGTAAACTTAACAAAGAATGAGAATGACCTCTACAGGAGAATTACAACCCCCCGAAGAAAGAGATCAAGGAAGACTACAGAAGATGGAAAGATCTCCCATGCTCATGGATTGGTAGAATCAACATAGTAAAAATGGCTATACTACCAAAAGCAGTCTACATGTTTGATGCAATTCCCATCAAAATCCCAATGACTTTCATCACAGAGATTGAAAAATCTACCCTAAAGTTCATTTGGAAACACAAGAGACTGTGAATGGCCAAGGCAATACTCAGCAAAAAGAGCAATGCTGGAGGTATCACAATACCCGATTTCAAACTATATTACAAAGCAATAGCAAAAAAACAGCCATGGCACTGGCACAAAAACAGACATGAAGACCAGTGGAACAGAATAGAGGACCCGGATATGAATCCACACAACTATACCCACCACTTTTGACAAAAGTGCCAAAAATATACGATGGAGAAAACAGAGCCTCTTCAACAAATGCTGCTGGGAAAAGTGGTTATCCATCTGCAAGAAACTGAAACTAGATCCATGTCTATCACCCTGTACTAGTATCAACTCAAAATGGATCAAGGACCTTAATAGCAGACCTGAAACTCTGAAGTTAATACAGGAAGGAGCAGGAAACACTCTAGAACTAATAGGTATAGGCAAGGGCTTCCTCAACAGAACCCCAGCAGCCCAGCAACTAAGAGAAAGAATGGACAAATGGGACTTCATAAAATTAAAAACCTTCTGCACAACAAAAAAAAAAATCTCTAAGTTGAAGAGACCATCCACATTTGCCAGCTATCCATCAGACAAAGGGCTGATAACCAGAATATACAGGGAACTTAAGCAACTAAACTCTCCCAAAATCAATGAACCAATAAAGAAATGGGCAACTGAACTAAACAGAACTTTCTCAAAAGAAGAAATTCAAATGGCCAAAAAAACACATGAAAAAATGCTCACCATCTCTAGCCATAAAGGAAATACAAATCAGGGGTGATTCCACCTCACCCTTAGAATAGCCATCATCAAAAACACCACCAACAATAAGTGGTGTCGAGGATGTGGGGAAAAAGGAACCCTCGTACACTGTTGGTGGGAATGCAAACTGGTGCAAGCACTCTGGAAAAAAATTTGGAGGCTTCTCAAAAATCTAAACGTAGATCTGCCATATGATCCAGCAATCCCACTCCTGGGGATATACCCAAAAGAATGCGACACAGGTTACTCCAGAGGCACCTGCACATCCATGTTTATTGCAGTGCTATTCACAATAGCCAAGTTATGGAAACCAAGATGGACCAAGATGCCCCACTACTGACAAATGGATGAAGAAAATGTGGTACTTATACACAATGGAATTTTACTCAGCCATGAAGAAGAATGAAATCTTATCATTACTTATCATTAAGTGAATGGATGGAACTGGAGAACATCATCTTGAGCAATATTAGCCAGGCTCAGAAGACCAAAAATCATATGTTCTCCCTCATATGCAGACTTTAGATCTAGGGCAAATGCAGTAATGTGGTTGGACATGGATCACAACACAAGGGGAGAGCATATATGGGTGATATGGTGATAGGTAGAAAACCGAAGACATGAAGCACTTAATGTTCCCACTCCAGAGGGACTAACACAGAAACTTAAAAGCGACAGAGGTCAACAGAAGAAGGGGATCAGGAACCAGAGATGAATCAACTTGGACTGTAACACATTTGTACATGAAAGCAATGCTAGGAATCTCTCTGTATAGCTATCCTTAACTCAACTAGCAAAAACGCTTTGTCTTTCTTATTATGCTTATGTCTTCTCTTCAACAAAATTAGAGATATGGGCAGAACAGGTTCTGCCTGGAAGCGAGAGGGGTTGGGGGAAGAGGGTAGGGATGGGGGGGGCAGGGGGGAGAAATGACCCAAACAATGTATGCACGTGTGAATAAATGAGTAATTAAAAAAAAAAGAAAGAAAATGAATTGACAAATTTTGTGACCTTCCTTTTTTTTTTTTTAAACTTTTTGGCAGTACTGATGTTTGAACTCAGAGTTTCACACTCGCTAGGCAGGTACCCTGCCACTTCAGCCATGTCTCCAGCTCTGTGTCCTTTCTAAATAAGGTACAGAAAGAAAATTCCTCAAAATAACAAATGCTATATATGAAAACTCATAGCTAAAATCAAAATCAATAAGGGAACAGCTGCAAACATTTCCTCTAATATTTAACCGCTCAACACCACAGTAACCTCTTCTCAACACAGCAGGAGCAGCTATGGCTTGCAGACCCAGGACAAGGGTCCTTGCCTGTCCATGTGGACCAAATACCATCATACCCCAGCCTGGGGCCTGGCCTACTATGCACTAAGCTCGTTACAAGGCAGGGTGTCTTCTATCACCACTTCTGTTCAACATCATAATAAAGTATTTGCAAGAGCAACACACAAGAAAAAGAAATTGAAGGCATACAAATTAGAAAGGAAGAAGTAAAATTACTTCTACTTGTAGGTTTCAGGGTCCTGCATGCTAAAAACCCCCAAAATTAAAAAATAAATTAGAATATATAAATTTGGTAAAATTACAGATGCAAAACACAATATACAGAAATCAGAAGCAATTCTATACACAAATAATGACCTTACTGAAAATCAAGAAAATAATCCTAATGAATACTATTTAAAAAAAAAACAAAACCCTAGGAATAAATTAAACCAAGAAGACACAAGATCTGTACACACTGAAAACTATAAAACACTAAAGAAAAAACTTGAAGACATAAATGGAGAAGTATTCTGTGTTCATGAATTACAAGAATTAATGCTGTTAAAATGCCCATACTACCTATTGCAATAAAAAGATTTAATGCAATTCCTATCAAAATTTCAATAGCATTCTTCAAATAAATAGGAAAAGCAATCCTAAAATGTGTATGGGACAACAGCAACAATACACAAAGCAATACTAAGAAAGAAAAATGAAGTTGGATACATCACATTTCCTGATTTAAAATTATAAAGTTATAGTAATCAAAATAATATGGTTATTAGGATAAAAATGGTACAGAAGGGAGAGTCCAAAATAACTCTAGACATAAATGGCCAACTAATTTTCCATAAAGCAACACAAAAGGACAGAATGGAAAGAGGTGATTTCATGCTACTAGAAAATTAGATCTCCACATGCAAAAGAATGACCTGAACGTGAATCTTACAGCATACACTAAAACCAAATCAATGGGACTAACAGACCTAAATCTAACATCTGGCTTAAAACTCCTAAAAGAGAATATAGGAAAAAGTTCCTTGAAATTGGCCTTGGAAATGATTTTTTGGGTATCACACCAAAAGCCAGGCTACGAAAGCAAAAATAAACAAGAGAGGCCACATCAAACTAAAAAATTTGTGCACAGCAAAGGAAACAATCAACAAATGAAAAAGCAACCTACCAACTGGAAAAAAATTGTTTGCAAACTGTGTATCTGTAAGGGACTAATAGTTAAGACTTATAAAGAATTCTTAAAGTTAATAACAAGAAAAATAAGTAGGGCTGCAGAAGAAGCTCAGTGGTAGAACACTTGCCTAGCATGTGTGACACCCTGGATTCAATCCCCAGCAGCCCTTCCCCCCCCCCGCCCCGCCCCGCCGTACACAAAATTACCTGATTAAAAAAATGGGCAAAACAGTAAACAAACATTTCTCCTAAGAAGACACAAACACGGCTAAGAGGAAATGGGCCGACATGCAGGACAAATATAGCTACAGATCTAATGTACAACATGAGAACTATAGATAAAAAAAATCAATGTGGGATTTTTGTTAAATAAGTAGATTTTAATTTGTTACAAAAAAGTTACATAAGATGGTAGATATGCTTGCTAACTGGCTTCACTATAGTAATCACTTTATTATTTAAGTGTATCTCATAATATCATGTTAAAAATCTCAAATGCACAAAATAAGAATTTTTACAAAAAGTTCAAACCTCTTCCAATCTAGAGACAGTCCTATTTTCCTGTGTTCCTTGAAAAGTAGCCTATGATTATACAACTGTTTAATCAATTTTAACATTAGACTTTACCTGAAAACTCAGAGCATATAAGACATTACACATAAAAGCATCCATGTGACTCCATACAGAGAGGACATATGGCACCTTTAGTCTCTCTCTCTCATACACAAACAGACAGACAGACAGACACACACACACACACACACACCCTGTACCTTATACAGAGAATCCTTGTTTGGCTTTAGTTTGATACCGTGGGCAAGCCTGAGTTGACCTGTTGTCCGCATTCCTGACCAGGTATCTTTTTCACCCACAGGTTTTAACAAAGATGTTACTGGGTTATAGAAGGCTGGGATGGAGACAGGATACCAAGTTCGCATAAAGACAATATCTGGAAGAGATTAACATTTTCAAAAGAGGATTCGTACCCATCACAAACACACACCCACACACACACACACCCAAACTTCTCCACTTGGTAGCACAGTACCTAAAAAGGAAATTCGCTAAGTGAACCACTCTTGCCTATCACAAAACTTTGGGTGTGAACCAAGAGGCTACTACAGACACAACACAACTCAGCTACAGCGCAAGATGCTGACTGCACAGAGCTGGAGCTGACACTGACTTTCTAAAGATACAAGTTCCTACCACTACTCAATGTAAACTGGAAATCGATAGTAATGGTAGTAGTCTTCCCCACCTCACACACTTTTTAATGAGCACATATCACTCTTCTATACCCCTTCTCTCAGTCCCCACCTTAAAAGTTTCTTGCAAATCTTTTTATTTTTGGTGGTAGTACTAGGGTTTGAATTTGGGGCCTTGCACTTGCAAGGGAGGTACTCTACCACTGGAGCCATGTCACCAGTCCTTTCTGCTTTAGTCATTGTCAAACCTGTTCCTGCATTTTTTTTTTTTGGCCTGGGGTTGCCTCAAACCGGAGGGTTGGCCTCCGATTCTACCTATGCCTCCCACACTAGCTAGAATTACAGACACATATTACCACACCCAACTTACTGGCTGAAAAGGGGTCTCCTGATTACTTCCTGAGTAGCTGGGATACAGGCATGCCAAGTTTTTTTTTAAACAGGTTTCATTATGATCTTTTCATATATGTATACAATGTGCTTTGGTCATATTCCATCCCTTTTCTCCCTTCCATGTCCCACCAGTCTTCCCCTATACCCCAATAGTGTCCCATTTATATATTCATGTCTAATTTTTTTTTTTTTTTATCTAGGTTCTGCAAAAGAGAAAATGTGGTTATTTGTCTTTCTGAGTCTGGCTTGTTTTGCTTGACATGATAATCTGGAGTTCTACCCATTTTCCTGCAAACAACAATTTCATTTTTTCTCATGGCTGAATAATATACCACATTTTCATTATCTATTCATCCAATGATGAGCACCTAGGCTTATTCCACAAACTGGCTATCATCAGCAGTGCTACAAGTATATACTCAAAAGAAGTATGGCTGGAATATATGGGAGTTCTATGTTTAGTTTTTGGAAAAACCTCCATAGTCATTCAATAGTGGCTGTCCTAATTTTCATTCTGATCAATAATTATGAGTGTTCCTCCCCTCCTCCCCTCCTCACCAGCATTTGTTGTTTTCCTGTTAGGGTGAGTTGGAATCTTAATGTTGATTTAATCTGCATTTTCTTTAAGGCTAATAAAGAATATATTTATTGGCCATTTGTACTTCTTTTAAGAACTGGCTATTCAGTTTATTTGCCCATTTATTTTGAATTGGATTACTTGTTCTTTTGTTGTTGTTGTCTTATTGAGCTCTTTCTATATTCTGGATATTAATCCCTTGTCCAGTGAATAGCCTGGTAAAGATTTTGTGTCCCTTCATTCTGGCACTTGTTTCCTTTGATGTGCAGACACTTTTAGTGTGATGCAATAGCATCTGCACATTTTTGCTCCTGTTTCCTGAGGTATTTGGAGAACTATTCACAAAGTTATTGCCTTTGTCTGTATCATCCAGTGTTTTCCTATTGTGGCAGGAAGGCAGGGAGGCAGAAGAGAGATTTTGAGTGCAATAGTTAAACAAAGGAAAACCAGAGTTGGGGAATGTTACCTGGAGACCAGAGGAGGGTCACCTTGCCCCAGAGGTTAAAGCAGCCAATGAAATAACATGTGATTCCTGTAACCTGCTCTAAATGGTATATAAGGAAAGCCCTCTTTGTTCTCGGTGCTCAGCCTTTGGACATGACTCTGCTGAGTTGCTGCTGGCCTGCTTAATAAACTTGCTTCCCCAAAGCTTTGCTGCCTCTCAGTCTCTGTCTGAGTGCTCCTGCAACACTATACAGTTCAACATTCTGGGACCTTTGTTTTTTTTTGTTTGGTTGTGTTTTAAAATTAGCAGTGCAGAGTCTGAACTCAAGACCTTGTGCTTGCTAAGCAAGCAGCTCTACCCCATCAACCATTTCCCCAAAGCCTTTCTGGCTTTGGGTTGATTTTCAGATAGGGTCTTGCATTTTTTCCCAGGCTTGCCCTGGGCCACTCCGCCTACTTACAGCTCCCAAAGTGGCTACTATGTATTATAGTACAGGAGTATACTACCACTTCTGGCGTGTATGTTGAGATGGGGTCCTACTAACTTTTTCTCTGGGCTGGTCCAGAACCATGATCCTCCTGACTGCCACACCCAGAATAGCTGGGATTAAAGAAATAAGATATGGGCCTCAAAGTTTCAGGTCTTACATTAAGATCTTTGATCTGATTTTGGTACGGAGTGAGAGACAGGGATCTAGTTTCAGTTTTCCACATGTGGATATCCAGTGTTGTCCCAGCACCATTTGTTTGTAGCACCTTTATTGAGAATCAAATAGCTGTAGTTGTGTTCTAGTCTATTCCACTGGTAAATGTGACTGGTTTTGTTACTATGATTCTGTAGTATAATTTGAAATCTAGTAGAGTGGTATCTCCAGCATTCCTTTTTGCTGAGGACTGCTTTAGTTATTGGGGGGTTTTGTGCTTCTGCATGAATTTTAGGACTAATTCTTATAATGCTGATTCTGCAAATCCATGAACATAGGTCTCCTCATCTTCTATAATTTCCTCAATGTTCATTATTTTGATTGTAGAGGTCTTTTTTTTTTCTTATGAGGCTACAGTGAATGGGATTCACCCCCCCACCCCCCCAATCTCAAGCAAAGGCTGAGCACAGTGGTGTGCATCTATATGGAGAAGTACAAATAGGAGGGTCACAGTCCAGGCCAGCCCAGGTATAAAGCAAAACCCTATCTCAAAAATAACTAACATGGGGCTGGTGGAGTAGCTGAAGTGGTAGAGTGTCTGCCTGGTGGCATGAGACCAAGTTCAATCCCCAGTATTGCCAATTAATAAAAAAAAAAAAAAGAAGAAGAAATTACAACTATGTTCATCAGAAAAATTGGTCTATAGTTTTCTTTTTTTGTTGTGTCTTTATCTGGTTTTGATATCAGGGTAATACTGGCCTCATAGATCAGTTAGGTAGAATTCCTCCCCTATCTACTTTATGGAATAGTTTGAGAATCAAAGGTATCAATTCCTCTTTAAATGCTGGTAGAATTCAGCAGTGAATCCATCCAGTCTTGGATGTTGGAAGATTATGATTGCCTCAATCTCATTACTTATTAAAGATCTGTTTAGGTTTATATACTCTTGGTTCAATTTTGGTTGCATATGAATAATAAAAGAAAAAAAATTTTGGTCATATGCAATAAGAATTTATCCCTTTCTTCTAGATTTTCCAGTGTACTCAAACACGGGTTTTCGAAACACTCCCTCATGAGCCTCAGAATTTTCTTGGTATTTGCTGTGATGTTCACTTTTCATCTCTTATTAATATGGTCTTCTCCCTCTTTCTTTTGGTTAGTTTGGTGAAGAGCTTGTTGATCTTTCTTTTTAAAGAACCAGCTCTTTATTTCATTGATTCTTTATGTTGTTCTTTCAGTCTCTGTTTCATTAAATTTTGCTTAGATCTTTATTATTTCTTTCTACCTACTGCTTCCCCTCTCCCCCCAAGATATATCATTAAGTTATTTGAAATCTACCTTTTTTTTTTTTGGTAGCACTAGAGTTTGAACTCAGGGCACCGTGCTTGCTAGGCAGGCAGTCTACCACTTGAGCCACTCTGCCAGCCCAAGATCTAATATTTTAATGAAGCCATAAACATTCCTCATAGCACTGCCTTGGCTGTGTCTCAAAGTTCTAGTAAGTTATATTTTCATTTTCATTTGATCCTAGAAATTTTTATATCCCCCTATTACTTTAACAACTCACTGACCATTCAGAAGTATATATTGTTCAGTTTTCATGTGTTTAAACATTTTCTGTGGTTTCTTTAGCTGTTGAGTTCCAGTTTTATCCCCCTGTGATCTGGTAAAATACAGGTTACCGTATTTGTTAAGACTTGCTTTACATCTTAAAATATGATCAATTTTGGAGCAAGTTCCATGTACTGAGGAGAATGTGTAGCTGTTGTATAGAGTATTCCATATATGTCTGCTAAGTCCACTTTACTGTGAAGTTTCCTTGTTGATTTTTTGTCTAGATGACCTACCCATCCATTGCTAGAGGGTACTGAAGTCACCTACCATTGCTGAGCAGGTACTAAAGTCACCTACACTGTGTTGGGTCTCTGTGCTTTTATGTTCTGTAGTGTTTGCTTTATGAAATTGAGTGTGCTGATGTAGAAATATCTTCAATACACCACAAAGTATCCTTACCACTCATCAGCAACTTGTCCTCAAAGCTGGCTCGGAAAGCTCCTTCCGGAGCCCGAAGTGCTTTCTTGATCTGTCCCCTGATTCCACTGACAGTTCGAATCACAGCACCTTCAAATTTGGCTACTTCCAAGGCAGAGTTAAACATTCCCTATAAGAAAATGGAAATGTATATATATAAAATCATATACCTTACTGCTTCATGAATACATCATTGGTTAAAAACAAAAACAGGCTAGGTGCAGTGGCTCATGCCTGCAATCCCACCTACTTGAAAAGCATAAATCAAGCAAAAAGTTAATGAGATCCCAGCTTGACCAGTAAGTCTGGCATAGTTGTGTCCATCTGTGATCTCAGCTACACCGGAGACATAATTAGGAGGATCACAATCAAAGGCTGACCTGAGGCAAAACCACAAGATCCTATCTAAAAAAATAACTGAAGCAAAAAAAAAAAAAAAAGGGGGGAGAGGGAGTTGCAGAGTGTGGCTCAAGTGGTAGAACACTTACATAACAAGTGCCAGGCCTGGGGTTCAAACCCCAGTAGCATCCAAAAAAAAAAAAAAAAAAAATCACCGAAGGGTGATAAAATAATCAAAATGTATTTTTACCCTAAAGGTATAAAATTACTACATTAGAAAAGTATATAATTTATTTAAAAAAAAAAAAAAACTCTACTGTGGACTCATTGGCATGTTCATCACTGGTGCCTCTGTAGAAGAACAAAGAGGCACTCACTGGACTGAACAGACCCCAAGAGCCTTTGCTGGCATCTTGTAGGCTGAACTGCAGCTCACGTGTTAGAGATAATGCATTTAAAAAATAAAATGAATACACAAATGCTAGTGGTATCATTGCCTCAATATAAAGAACATTTTATGATCATCTTTTTTTCAGAACTGGCAAGCATTCTACCACTGAACTATATTCCTACCCTTAAGTTCTTAACTGTTAAGATCATATGAAAACATTCCTTCCAATGAAACATTCAATAAATCCTGCTCAAACTACTCCTACTTACCATTGCAAAAAAAGTGTGTCCATTTCTTTGACCCCTTGCAAACTGCTTTGCCTAATTTTCTACTGCTTGCTAGGCAAGTGCTCTATCACCTGAGCTACACACTTGATCTTTTGTTTGAATTTTATGAGATAGGGTCTTCCTATCTTTGCCTGGGCAAAGTATCAAACCATGATCTGCCTCTGTCCCTCAAGAGCTAGGATTATAGGCATGCACTACCATGCCTGGCCTGGTATCTGTCCTTTCTTAACACAAACCTAAAAGGTAGTAAACAAAGTCCAGTGGATGAAATATATTTTGAGTATTAGTTCTGAGACTGCTTCACAAAGAAGTAAGAGTAGACTCAATTACTATATGTTTAACTTTGCCTTCAGAATTTTGAACATATTTGAGTAACAAAGATCAATATAAAGAAGTAAACTGTCTAATATTAAATATCATGACATCAAATACTTTTACTAGACATATATTTTAGAAGTACAGGAAAAATTTAAAAATCTGAAATGCTCCAAAACCCAAAATTTTTTGAGTGCCAACATACCAATCATGGAAAGTTCAAAATCTGACCTCAAGTGATGAGTCCCAGTCAAAATGCAGACACACTAATAAAATGACCTTCAGGCTATGCTGATAGGGTATTGTTGAAACCTAAATGAGTTGTGGGTTTAGAATGAGGTGTCATCCAAGATATCTCACTATGTATACATAAATATTCCAGTATCTGAAAAAAAATCTCAAATATAAAATACCTGTGGCCCTAAACATTTTGGATAACAGATCCTCAACTTGTACTGCAGTCTCCTTTTAACAATATATACATTTATGAATATATACAAATACAGACCTTAACAAATGAAGTGTTCTTGAAAATTTTGTATGGGAAACCAGTTAGCTTTAATTTCTTCACAATTTTTATGGATTTATCCAGATCCAGGACAATTCCAGTGGCAGCTATCCGGAAATCAGGCTGAAAAGAACCCCAAAAATTTGAATATAGGAATAACATCACCAGAGAAACTACAATTCTCTGTGATGCAATAAACTGCCAATCAGCTAAGAAAGAAGAAGAGAAAACACACAAACATACAAAACAATAGCATTTTAACCAAAGCAAATCTAAACTGTAATACTGGTATACCAAGCTAATTATGATGACTCAAATACTTACCTGAGAGTGATTTCATAGCAACAGAATTTCACAATAAGAATCGATTTGGAATGAAAAGGAAAATTCAGTTGTAACGTTGAAAAAATTTAAATTTTGGACTTCCAGTGTAGATTATAGCTGCCAATTATTCTGTTTCCTCCTCTGTTCAGGAGGGGTCAATAAAACCTCCTCTGACTGATCAAAGAAGACTATGAACATATTTTGCACAACCAGCATTACTAGGGTGTGGTCACATGTTTAGATGGTTATAATGTATCCCCTAAACTAAGTATAAGGTTTAACACATGGTGAACACTGCTTCAATATTTTTTTTAGATAAGTAAGTTCAAATAAGGCACAAAAATATAAAATGTCATCAGTTTCATTACAATTCTTCTCTTCCTTTCCCCCACTTCCACACTCCACCTAACAAAACCAGACATGCACACCTGCAATTCTAGCACTCAGAAAGCTAAGGCAGGACAATCCCAGGTTCCAAGCCAGCCTATGTTACATAGCAAACCCTGTCCCAAAAAAAAAAAGTAGGACCATGTGGCACCAGTGGCTCATGTCTATAATCCTAGAAACAGGGAAGACTGAATTCTGAGGCTGAGACCAGGAGGATGGTAGTTTGAGGTCAGCATGGGTAAAGAGTTCATGAGACTCACATATAAACCCATTAGCTAGATGCACTGGCATGTGTCTGCCACCCCTCCAATGGAGGGAAGCATAAAATAGGAGGATCATGGTCCAGGCCAGCCTAGACAAAAAGAAGACTCTCTCTGAAATAATGAGAGCAAAATGGGCTGAGGCATGACTCATGAGATAGACTACCTCCCTAGCAAGTACAAAGCCCTGAGTTCAAACCCCAGCACTGCCAAAAAGAGAAATTTGCAAGTTAAAAATAAGTCATTTGGTTTTCAACTTGGAGTTTTATGCATACCGTTCATACTCAAGATATATTTTTGAGCATAATCTGTATAATGAAATATCTAAGATAATTACCATTACACCACAGACAGACTGTATTGCCAAGAACCCAGTTCCCTGTGGAGTGATAGGACCTTAAAGAAAACAGAAAGAATTCATAGTGAGCCACAAAATTTGGATTCTATTTTATATAAACACTCCAACCCTTTTCCCAAAGAGATAAATTTTTATGAAAAGAGCAAAGCTATAATGATTAAGTCTAAAAGGTATAAACTAAGTTATTCTAATAACATTTTACCCCAAAAAGTTGCTCCACAATGCATATGCTGTGGAGTGTATTTTAGAAGCCTTTGTCTTCCATTGTGGTCTTCAATGTAATAGAGTGGGATGGTTTGAAATCTTCTCCAGCCTACAGAAAAAATTATTGGATCTCGAGACTTGAGGATTTTCTTATACCAACGATGTTTCTTCAGACGCATCTGAGGGGAGAAGGGTTTCAATAAAACAGGGTACATCCAAATAATGTAAGTAGCCAAACACACAGCAAAGGGTACCTACCTGCACATAAGTTTCCTATAATCAGTCTCCAGTTCTTCAGTTCCTGACCTTTAAAGGCTACTAAAAATCGGACTTTTATCCACCACTCCATGAAAGTACTTGCCAAAGTCACTAATGACCTCCACAGACCTCATCCAGTAGACAGTCAATCCTGTCTCTTTTACAGTTAGTATGTAGTAGAATGTGAAGCAACGTATTGTTTCCTTCTATTTTTTGGCTTCTGGTGTGCCTCCCATTCTGAGATTTCTCTCTCCTGGTCACTGCTCAGGCCCCTTACTACCACCCACCCACACAGACGCATCTGAGGGGAGAAGGGTTTCAATAAAACAGGGTACATCCAAATAACGTAAGTAGCCAAGCACACAGCAAAGGGTACCTACCTGCACATACCCAACATTGCCCTCGCTATTGCCCAAACCACCCAGAATAATTGGGTAGTTAGGGTCAAAGTTCAGCACAAATTCACAGGGAACGTTTTCAATCTCAATTCGGACATACATCCCAGGTCGAAAACCCTCATATTGAACTCTGGCTTCATCATCTTGATCTTCAAATTCTGCCCGGTTAAGCTATATTGGGGGGGGGGGGAATAAAACCTCATTATGTGATTATCTTTAATAAACATAAGATTAAAATAAAAAATACATAACAATGAAATAAAGAAGCATGGACAAAATTATTTAGGCTTTATCCTAATTAAAAATGATATGCATTTCACCTCTTTGGTTTGTTCAGAGTATGCCCCAACTGTAAGACACAGCAACTAACTCCAAAAGGAGCCCTGCATGCAGTGTGCAAATGTTCCCAGCTTCCCTAGGTCACACTTTCTTTTCTCACTCTCTGAATTATGATTAATTACAATATTTTCCCCTGTCTTCAAACACTCAACACCTCTTCTGTAGCCTCACTCTCAGTGATGGCTGTTTTCCTAATTCAAGCTGAAAGAGCTTCCACAGTTAACCCTCTTCCAGGGTTGTAGCCTTTTATTAAAGCTCTGCACTGTTCCTTGGGGTAGCTAGGTATGGCTATTTAAATTATAAGTACATTTAAAATCCAGGTCCTCATTCACACTAGCCACACTAATTGTCAGTATCTACATGTGAGCCAGTGGCTAGGTACAGGGCAGTACAGATAGCAACTCTGGTGGTGCAGTTTACCCATGCCTCTACTCAATGCAGAGCTCCACCTGCACTCTAGATAGGTCCACTCTTGTTGGACTTAATTCCAACAGATCTTCCTTGTTACTATTCTCATCTCAAAACCTTTTCATTCCACTTCTTTCACAACTACTGCTCCATTTCTATGCTTTTCTTTGCACAAACCTCCACAAGTTTCCTATAATCAGTCTCCAGTTCTTCAGTTCCCGACCTTTAAAGGCTACTAAAAATCAGACTTTTATCCACCACTCCATGAAAGTACTTGCCAAAGTCACTAATGACCTCCACAGACCTCATCCAGTAGACAGTCAATCCTGTCTCTTTTACAGTTAGTATGTAGTAGAATGTGAAGCAACGTATTGTTTCCTTCTATTTTTTGGCTTCTGGTGTGCCTCCCATTCTGAGATTTCTCTCTCCTGGTCACTGCTCAGGCCCCCTTACCTAACCTACTCCTCCATCTCTGTGTGTTCACTCTCCAGAGCACCTTGTGGATTTAAGGAGAATCTGTATGCCGAGGAATGTACATCTATGTTCCTGGCTGGACTTGACACTCCATTTGTCAGAACATTATCTCAAACCTAACCTCCTCAAAAAAGCTACACTAGCAAAAGGCTTCCTACCAGACTATGACAACTCATCCTTCCAGGAACCTTCCAGATGTCACCCTCATTTATGCTCTCACCGCATCAGGAAACCCTACTGCTCCATCTTTCAAGTGAAGACCTGACCCCTCTCTCCTTCACTGCCACTTCTAGATTGTACCACCTTAATTTCTGACTGTAACCTTTCAAAGACAAATGATCATGAATATCTCCTCTGCTCAAAACCTTCTACAGCCCCTTTCACTTAGAGGAGACAATTCAAAGTCCTTCACAGTGGGCCATAAGATACTATGGGATTTTAAATTGTTAATGGCCTGAAGCAAAGACTTCAAAAACTTCAAAACTAGCTCTACATTGCTTAGTCACTTCTGTCAAAGGTCAACAAAGACTGGTAACCACTAAATTATGACTAATAGAGACTTTTTTGACTAGATAAATGCTTAAGTTGAGCAAAGCCTGCCAATCCCATTTTCACAAATTATATACACTTAACTTATATGTTAAGAGAATTCTCAGTGCCCTAACAAAGCACAACTCAAGGGATTACCAAGAACAGCGTACACATCTTTGTGTCTGCTTCAGAGTGACATCGTTATCTCACACAGCCTGCTCAGCATCCCCAGGCAGGAGAGCCAAACTCTCTCCCTTCCTGCATTCCAGGCATTCCCTTTGTCTTTATACCCAACCTTACATGAAATCTCTGAATCTGGAGAACACTGTGTGTACATAAGCCACATGGGCCATAATTCACCTACTCATTCAATCAGGGAGGCGTAATCAGAATGGAAGTCTATGCTTCCATTTAAAAGAACACTGTCTCAGTCATTTCTGCTTCCTCAGCACCTAATGCTTGGTGCAAATAGGGTACTGATATTTTTCTGGTGAATTTCTAACTGAAGAAGCAATTAGAAGTCTAAATGGAAGGCACAGAGTATGTCAGGGAAGAGACCAAATGAAGTCAGGTATCCACCACACTGGTACAGCTATGGAAGAAGGTAACAGGAAATGAGCTTTCTTACCTGTGCTTGTTTCTGCATTTCTCCTTTAAGGTCATCAAAATATGTGCTTTCTCCTTCATCGTACTCTGCATCAAACATTTCCTTCAATTTTCTCTTCTTATCTAAATGTTTTTTCTTGGCTCTTTCCTCTTCATTAACATCAGTTTCTTTCTTATCTTCCTCCTTCACATATTCAATCTTAAATTTCACAAGAGAAAATATTATAAACACTTATGAGATTCTTTCTTTAAATAGTTAAGGCAGACTTTAACAGTTCTTATTTGAAGCTGGGCACTGGTAGCACATGCCCACAGTCCTAGCTACTTGGGAAGCTGAGATAGGGAGGATTTCAGTTTGAGATCAGCCTGAACAAATAATACTCAAGACCCCATCTCCAAAATAACCAGAACAAAATGGACTGAAGGTGCAGCTCAGCAGAATGCCTGCTTTGCAAGCCTTGTAAACCCTGAGTTCGAAACCTAGTCCCACCAAAGGAAAAAAAAAAAAAAAAAAACCAGTTCTCTTTGAGTCTGGTGCTGGTGGCTAACAACCTGCAATCCTAACTACCCGGAGGGCTGAGAACAGGGAGATCATGGTTCAAAGCTCCAGGCAAGTGCTTTGTGAGACCCCAGCTCCAAAATAACCAGAGTGAAATGGACCGGAGGTGTGGTTCCTCGCCTTGTAAGTGCAAAGCCTTGAGTTTAAACTCCAGTCCCACTTTAAAAAAAGAAAAAGAAACAAAGTTCTATTTGAGCTACAAAACTCTTAATTATAAGCATTAAAAACAAAACAATATATGGCCTTTGATTCTAAACAACAAGGCACTACTGCAGGAGACCGTTTTCTACATTACCATTACTCCTTAATCTGGCTGTCATAACAAACACAAATGAAAATAATAGCAATGTCCCCAACCCAGATGCTCCCAGACACTGTACTAAAGCACTATCTGGGAGAATAGGGAATTTGCTTTCTAAAATGAACTGAAATCTAAGAAGAGGAATATCATGACAAAAGAATGATGGAGAGGAAGACACAGGTTAAAACTTCCATGAACAAAAAATAAGGAATTTGGTGACTATAGCAAGAAGGGTGTGGGTGTAGGTGTCATCCAAAAGAATGAAAATAAGCAAACTTTTATCTACCCCCTCATCTCTACACTTTTAGGAAGCAATCTATAAATCTGGTCTGAAGTTACCCAGATAACAAGATCTGCATTTCAAAATGGGTCTCTGAGAACATGCTGACAGGAGTCACAGCAAAGCCATACCTGAGTATCGGGGTCTGGTTTTGCCTTGTGCACATCTCCTGTTTCTAGGTCTTCAAAGTCACCATAGAGCTCCTCTGGAAAGAGAACATTTAAATGGCTATTGTGTGAATGGGGCCTACATGTGACACTAGCACTACCCAACCACCCAGCCCCATGCAGTCTGTGGGCTCTGCATTCTTACTGTTAGTTTCCATCATTACATCTGCCAAAAGAATCCTGCACTTACATATGCATTTTTTTCTGAAGGTCAATATTTTATCATTTGTTTAGGTAAAGTAAGTGAACCCAATCCACATTTTCATGCTTACTTCAAAATCTCATTTGGTTAAAGGACATTTTCCCAGTATAAGTAATGGTCACTATTGAGAGAGACACACAGAGATGGCAAACTTGGCCCTGAAGATAAGGCCCCAAAATCAACATTTCAAAGACTGAATAAAAAGCTACAGCTTGATAACAACTGATGTGAACAACAGTCTTGATAGTAGCCAACGTAACATACCCAGGGAAAAATCTTAGATTATAAAAAGTATAAATATTAGGGCAAAAATAGAGCCCAGAACAGTGCTGAGCCCACAGAAAAAGTTCATTCATTTCATCCATTTGTTTATTTTTGGAGTGCTGGGTTCAGTTACAAGTGCTACTCTTAAAAACAGACAAGTTAAAACTCCTTTGGGAGGGCAACATTTGGAAGGATATTAAAACATTTTTACATAAAAGCCAAAGAAAACGTAACAGATGGGAAGTTCCTATTTGTAAAACAAAACAAAATAAAACAACAAAAAATACAGATAAACTAATAACAAATGTACTGGAATATATTTGAAAAATAAAATAAAGAAACTTTACTATGTTACCAAGGGACAAAAGGATGTCGTCATTGGTCAAGACTTTCCAGTGCTTCCATCCCTGCCAGTGTTTCTAGTACTACACATGCTTTAACTACATTCTTCAACACAGCTCAAGGAAGGAGGTACGATAAATATTATCTACTGATCAAATAATGACACAGCCTGGTATGGAAAGGAAGATTTAATATCATATAGATGCCAATTCTCCCTTTAATGCAGTTATAATAAAACACCACCACCAAGGATTTCTGGTCTGGAGAAAAAAACGTATTTCTTTCTACTCCTTTATATTCAGCATAAACTGCAGAAATACTGTAGGAGACAAGAGACAATCAAAGAACACTAGAAGGACAGAAAGAAAAAGGTAAGCTGATAAGGGACCCCAGGACTAGAGGAATGAGCTGGTGGGCAAGTATCTGTCTCATTACATCCCACCCAACAGAAAGGTGACTCAGGTCCAATGTTTCCCAGCAGCCCAGGCAGGCTCATTGTTTCTCAGAACAAAGGAGATTTCATTGGCAACACCAGGTACGCTGGGCAGCACTGGCAAGGAGGACTGGAAGCCCCACTAACAACGTGGCAGGGAGCGGGAGGAGGAGTGCTCCCCTGCCCTGAAGGGCCTGAACTAACCAAGAAATCCAGGTAACTGAGAGTTACTAGCAAGGGAGATCCCACCAGACCCCGAAACTCCCCTTCCTTTAAACCTTCCACAATGTGTGCCAGGCAAGCCCAGTATAGAGAATCCCACCCCTGTCCCACCCCCACCAATAAGCAAACCAACCCCACAGGCCAACCCCTTCAGGCGGCAGGTGTCTGAAGTAGCTCCCGTTTCCTCAGGGAGCACAGCAGATTGGTGGAGTATGAATGGTACCAGATAGACTTAAGTAAGCCAAAACAGTTCCACAAAGGCTCTGAAATTAAATTATCATTGGAACCACAGTCTACAAAGTACCAGGAGCTACAAACTGAACCTAACAGAATAACTGCCTACAAAAATTTAAACCTCATATAGGTTTAGTCTCCTAACTTACTGACCAAAATGTATATTACACTATAAAAAATATTTCTAATACCTTGAACCAGGCAAATCATATAGGACAGAATTGAAAACTACGACAGAATTTACAAAAAAAGAAAGAAACAAACAAACAAACTAGCTGGATGGGCACAACAGTAAAAGTGGAGAAGACAGACAAATTTGAAAGACTAAAGCCAAAATTTACCCAGTTGTAAAAACAGAAAGCAGCCTGAAACAAACAGACAGAGTCTCATGGGCAGACAAAAGGATCAGTCCACCAAGAAGACATAATAATCCTATTATGCCACAAACAACAGAGCCTCAAATATATGAAGGAGAAATCGAGCAGAAAGTAGATGTTATAGTTTGGATATAGAATGGTCCCCAAAGGCCCGTGTTGAAAATTTGGTCCTCACCTGGTAGCACTATTAGGAGATGGTGGAAATTTTAGAAGGTGGGGCCTCGTTGGAGGAAGTAGGTCATGGCCGGAGTGTCCCTGAAGGGTATATTAAAACCCTGCTCCTTTCCTCTTTGATGCCTGGCCACTGTGAGCTGAGCACCAATCCTTCACTACACAATTCTGCCTTGCTGTACTGCCTTGCCACAGGTTAGGCCTGACAAGCTGCCAAGCGACCATGGACTGAAATCTCTCCTCCTTATAAGTTATTTACCTCAGGTATTTTGTCAGTGATGGAAAGCTGACTCACAGTAGGGACAGATAAAATCCACAATTATATTTGGCAACTTCAACATCTTTCTCATAGCAACTGTCAAAACTAGGAGAATATCAACGAGGATACAGAGAAGAGCTGAACAACATAACCAACCAACAGATTTCTACATCTGTAGAGCATCCACAGCAAAATCCATAATTTTTTTAAAGCACTGACAGAACATGTAAAGACAAAGTAATTCTGAACAACACAAACCTCAACAAGTTTAAAAGAACTGAAATCATATGAATATATTCTCAGAAGATAATGTAAAAATTAGAAATCAAAAATCAACAAGGTTTGATTTATTGATTTATTAGAAATCAATAATCAAAAGTCAACAGGAAAACTTTTGAATACTTAGTAATTAAATAACACACTTCTCACTAATTCATGGACCACAGATGGAAGGGAATGAAAATGAAAACAAATGAAAATCTATGGGGTGCTAAGCAGCACTAGAGGAGAAAGCATACTAAATGTAAGCGTTAGTAAACAAAAAAGGGCCTCAAGCCAATAATCTAAGAAAACTGAAAAAAGACTAAAAGAAGCAGAGAACAGAAAAGAAAACTGAAAATAGAAAAATAGTAGGGAAAAATGAACAAACAAAAAGCTGGTAAAAAAAATCAATAAAATAAATTTTACTGATAAAGATAAAGAAAATATACAAATCAACAACAGCAAGAAGGAAACAGGGTATTACCAAAGAGAACTCTGCTGCCATTGAAAGAGTATTAAATAAATGCTGTACTTTGAGCATCACCCTCACAATACCTTCTTGGTGGAAACTGGCCTCCAATTTCCTTCAAAATGATAAACTTGTCAAAACTGGGGCAAGAATCATCTCATAATATCAAAGAAAGAAAACTTGTCATTAAAAGATTCTAAACAAGTAAGCTTCAAAATCAGCTAATTTACTGGAGACATACCAAATACTCAAAGGATTCAACCTTATTCTACATACATTCTTCTAGAAAATAAAACAACAGAAATTAATTTTCTGAGGCTAATATTACCCTGTCACAAACCAAAACCAGCTGAAGATAACCAAAAAAAAAGAACATCCACAAAAGCCTCAACCCCCCCCAAATACTACAAACCAGTAACTTTCATGAGCTTAGATGCAAAAATCAAAATCCTGAACAAAATACTATCAAATAGAATCTAACAACATATAAAAACATTTATATACCATGACCAAGTGGGATTTATTCCAGATAGGCAAGGTTGATTTAATATTCCAAAAAATTAATCAGGTACCTATAATCCCAGCTATTTGGGAGGCAGAGATTAGAAGGATTACCTTGATTAAAAAGTTAGCAAGACCCCCATCTCAACAAACAAGCCAGATGTGGGGGTTAACATGTACAATCCCTGCTATACAGGAGGCATAGGAGAGAAGATTCTGGTCCAAGGCTGGTCCAGGCAAAAAAATATAAGACCCTATCTGAAAAATACCCTAAAGCAAAAAAGGCTGTAGATAGGACTCAAATCCTGCAAAAACCATAAGGTCCTGAGTTCAAACTCCAGTACCATACAGACACATACACACAAAAATCAACATAATTCACTGTATCAAATGATAAAGAATAAAGCTGATATGATCATATGAACAAACACTAAAAGCCATCTGACAAAATTCAACACCCACAATGGTTAAAAAAAAAAAAATCCTAGCCTGGCACTGGTGGCTCATGCCTTTAATCCTAGCTACTAAAGGGATAAGAATCAGGAGGATTGTAGTTTGAAGCCAGCCCCGTGCAAACAGTTCAGGAGAAAAACCCATCACAAAAAAAATGGCTGGCAGAGTGGCTCAAGCAGTAAAAGCATGTGCCTAGCAAGTGTGAAGCCCTGAGTTCAAACCCCAGTGCTGCCAAAAAAAAAGTCCTTAGTATACTAGGAATACTGGGGGACAGAGAGTATATAAAGAACAGCTACAGAATGACCACAACAACCATGCTAGCATCATAGCAATGTGAATTAAAAGGAAATACTTGTTTATATTTATCAAAATATATTCAACCAGTATGATGATAATCACAAAATGATAAAAGAAATCAAAGATCTAAATAAGAGACTATGTTCAAATATTCAAAATAGTAAAGATTCTTTCCAAATTGATCTATGGACTTAAAATTCCTATTGAAATCCCAGCTAAGTTTTTAAAGGTATAATTAAGCATATTCTAAAATTAATATTGAGAGTCACAGACTGCAAGACAGCTAAACCAATTATGGAAAAAAAATAAATAAAATGAGGATAATCACTCTGTACAGCACAAATGTTTACTACAAAACCACAGTAACCAAAACAGTGAATGTGGTATTATCCCAGGAACTGACACATGAAATCAATGGAACAGGAGAGAAGCAGAAAAGAACCACATCAGTTTTTGAGAAAAGTATTAAAACAATTCAATGTGCATAGGCAAAAATAGAAGATTCACATTTAAAAAATGATAAAAATTTGTGTCTGTGAAGACACAAATATCAAAGAAACTAGCACAGAGAAAATCTTAAGGCTCAAAGACTAGAAAATGCTTCCTAAATTTGACACTGATTCATAGTCCCTAAAATAAAACAAAACACAAAGCCTGATAAACTGGACCTCATTAAAATTAAGGATTTGGGGGTTTGGGGATATGGCTCAAGTGGTAGAGTACTTCTCCAGGAAGCTCCAGATCCTGGGTTCAATCTCCAGCACTACAAATAGATAGATAGATAGATAGATAGATAGATAGATAGATAGATACAATTTTACTCTATGACAAGCTCTGTTAAGACAATGAAAAGAAACCTACTGCAAATGTTACAAAACTGAGAATGGTGGTTCACAACTGCAGTCTGAGCTACTCAGGAGATAAAGATTGGCATTTCAAGGATAGCCTAGGCAAAAAATTAGCAAAACCCCATTGCAACCTTGTAAAGGTGGGTTGTGAGGATTGAAGTCCAGGCTGGCCCAGGAAAAACCCAAGACCTTACTAGGAAAGATATTAAAGCCAAAAGGCCTAGAAGTGCATGGCTCAAGTGGCAAAGCCCCTGCTGAGCAAGCCAAGGCCCTGAGTTAAAATTACAATAATAATTTAAAATTAAAAGAAAAACTACAGATTGGAAAAAATATCTCCATGCCAAATATCCAATAGTGGAGTAAAACATATAAAGAACCCCAAGAGTTCACAATTTTTAAAAAGAAGCAATTCCAGAAAAAGAGCAAGATAACCCATAAATACTCTGCATCTATACAGATGGCAAATAAGCACATTAAAGAATGCTAAATAAGCTGGGGATAGTGGCACACACCTATAATCCCAGCTATTCTGGAGGTGGAGACACCATGGGTGAGTTCCATGCCTCCCATGCAGTTAGGGAGACAGGGAGATCCTATCTCAAAAACAAACAAAAGGGCTGGAGGCATGGCTCAAATAGTAGGGGGCATTTGCCTAGCATACAGGAGGCATGTCTTGGGTAAGGAGGTTGGGATGTGGGGGAGGATGCTAAACATTGGTAGCCAGCAGGGAAAAGTAAATTAAAAGTACAATGAAATACCGGAACACATGTACTAGAATGGCCAAAATAAGTAATAGTTAGAACAACAAATGTTGAGGAGGTAGCAAAGCAACTGAAACCATCATACAGTGCCAATGGACATAAAATGGCCCGACCACTCTGGCAATTTCCTATAAAAGTAAACGTACCTTATGACCCAGCAATGGGTCATTCTTGCACATTATCCCCCAAAATGTGAAGTTTATACTTACACAAAAATGTATAAAGAATTACAGGAGGTGGGGTGTAGCTGAAGGCTCTGGGTTCAATCCCCAGCACTACCAGAAGGTAGTAGAGAGAGGAGAGGGGAAGGGAGAGGAAAAGAAGAAATTTTCACTGAAGCTCAATTCTGAATAATCCAAAACTAGTAACAAACCAGTTCTTTGATGGATGAATTGTTAAAGTGACACATACACACCACAGGGTACTATTCAGCAATGAAAAGGAGTGAACTATAGTTACATACATCTTCAGTGGATCTCTAGGGAATAATACTAGGATCTTGAAAGTGACAAATCTATAGAAATGGAAAATCGGCTAGTGCTTGATGGGTAGCAACTGGCGACTGGGGGACAGCACGGAAGCATGATAATGGAACTATTCCATGGTTTAACAGCAATGAAAGGCTGTGACAAGCCATTTAGTCTACTCTCAGGTATTTACCCAAGAGAAATGAAAACAGTTGTTCATACAAAGATTTGTACAGAAATGTTCACAGCAGCCTTATTGGTAACAATTCCCAACTGGAAATCAGCTCATCATTGATCACAGGTGCAGAGAAAAGCAGATTGCAGAGTATAATACAATGGACAACTATTCACCGTAAGAAAAAATTACTCAAAAATAAAAAGAAATGCTAGCTAATTTTTTAGGGTGTCTTACCTAAAAAATTAGCTAGCATTTGTTGCCCTTAACGCAGAGAAGCTAAAGCAGATACCTTAAAAGCAACTGAGGCCAATAGGAAAAGGGGACCAGGAACTAGAGAAGAGGTTAGATCAAAAAGAATTAACCTAGAAGGTAACACACACGCACAGGAAATTAATGTGAGTCAACTCCCTGTATAGCTATCCTTATCTCAACCAGCAAAACCCCTTGTTCCTTCCTATTGTTGCTTATACTCTCTCTACAACAAAATTAGAAATAAGGGCAAAATAGTTTCTGCTGGGTATTGAGGGGGTGGGGGGGAGAGGGAGGGGGCAGAGTGGGTGGTAAGGGAGGGGGTGGGGGCAGAGGGGAGAAATAACCCAAGCCTTGTATGCACATATGAATAATAAAACAATTAAAAAAAAAAAAAAGAAATGAAGATGCTGAGGCAGGATAGATTAGGGACCACAAACATGGGAACCAAGAGCCAGGAGTTAAGAAAAATATTGTATTAACAAATAATCTGATGGGAATGCACAATTTTTTAAAAAAATTTTTCTACAATACTGGGGGGTTGAACTTGGGGCCTTAACTCTACTACTTAAGCTTCGTCCCCAGTCCTTTTTGCATTGGTTATTTTTGAGATAGGATCTTCCATTATTCCTGGGCCAGCCTACACACAATTCTTCTATTTGTGCTTCCCTATCATAGATGGGATGACAGGCATGTACCACCACACCCAGCCATTGGTTGAGATGAGGTATCTTTGTTTCTTCCCAGGCTGGCATCAAACTGTAACTCTTCTGATCTCCAACTCCCAATTAGCTAGGATTACAGGCTTGAGCCACTGCCCAGTTAACATAATCTTTTTTTTTAGGTTCTCACTTTCACATCAGGATGTAGCAGTTAAGAGTGCCTTTAACCTTGCATTAGTGATTTCCCCTACATTCTGGATAAACACAACCTGGACAAATATCTTAAGGAAAAACATCTGGGGAAACTCTTCCTTTGATCAACAGGAATCCTGGTCAAAAAGAACAAATATGTATGCCATAAGACTTAGATTTAGTACATCCACCAGACATGACTCTGGGCTTGGCCGATAATGTCAGAACACTGTAACAACAGATATGACTGAGCACACCAGATGCTCAGAACAAAGAAGCTCCTTTGAAAAAAGAATGCTTATGCAAGCCCCCCAACTTACTTAGCTTTAGCATATGCAGAAGCAACTCACTGCTCCTAACACCCATACTTTAACTATGAAGTATGTCTTTCCTTTCTGCTTTTCCACAATGAATAGATTTATCATCAAAAGAAAAATACAAATATTATTTAAGTATAATTTTCACACATGAAAAAAACCTATTTTTAATCAAAATTTACAGAAAACTTCTTACTTTTAAGGTTCAAACCTAATAAATCAGTTAACCAAGGTGAGAAAACAAAATCATCATGAAAGAAGAAACTAACCCTTGTCAGAGTTCCTCAAAGCATTTATCACCATTATTTTCAACTTGACTATAATTTAAGATATAAGAGAAAATATGCAGTCCTTACTTACCATCTTCTGCTAAGATCTTGGCTGCATCTTTATCCTGTTCCCACTTCCCAGTCACGAAGCAATCTCTGATACTGTTCATAACCTTACAGAGAAACAATAGCACTTAGTTGACTTGCACAAACAACTGCTTTTCAGAAATGGCTACTACAAGGATGAAATAGATCTTGTCAAAAGGACTTAAGAGCCAACATGAACAGTTTTCCACCAGCAACAACTTACCTTTAAATACTTCTCAAGACACTTTCATGGATATTATCCTTCCACATGTACCTGGAGATAACTTTACCTTAGACATTGACAGTATAACCATGAACATAAAACACAAACGTCACAACATTTAGCAGCAGATTTAGGGATAAAGTACTGTTAGCCCACTGACCTTGTAAGTAACTGATTGTTACTATTTCAATTAACTTTCAGAGTGTATTAACATTTCCAAGGTAATATAGTAAGACAACATTTTACAAAGTTGGTCTGTAAAGTTACACAACCACTGTTGAAAAGAGAAATACTGAGGGAAATAAAACTTGTTTTGTGTAATAAGAGTAATAGTACTGCCTAATATTATTCTGACATTTTTTATATATAATATTGGATAAATCAAATGAGCAGTTATATGATTTTCTAAGTTCATCAGATTCAACCAGGGAATAATTCTGCAGTGGGAAAATGGATACAGATACATGATGTAATCCTGAATATGAATTGAAATATCTGTGTAAGTTCTAGCTCGGCCACTAAGAAGCCTTAGACATATAACCAATGCTACAATAAGCCAAGATTGTGATACTGAAATACCACTTTGTGCCAGGCCTGGTAGTTCAGACTCATAATCCCAGCTACTTGGGAGAATGAGATAGAGGATAGTGATTTGACATTAGCCTAGGCAAAAGTTAGTGAGACCTCCTCATCTCAACAAAACCAGTCAGGCATGATGGCATGCACCTGTCATCCCAGCTGTACAAGAGACCTAAGATGATAGTAGTCTGAGCGCAGCCCCAGACAAAAAAAGCAAGAGTCCATCTGAAAAATAATCTGAAGTAGTAAAAAGGGCTAGGATTGTGGCTCAAGTGGTAGAGCACCTACACCTAGCAAGCATGAGGCCGTGAATTCAAATCCCAGACAAAAACCCATCCCCCTCAAAAAAGAAATCAGCACTTCTTAAGGCTGGTTCCAAGTCTGTGTCAGAAATGAACATGATGCTGGATACCTTTCCACATCAGAAAGCAAAAAAGCCCTCAAGGATGACTGAGATCATGTCAAGACGACTTAGGAGTCAACATGAAGTCTCCCACGGGCAACAGCGGGGTAACAGGTAGGGTACAAAGAAGTGCATGTATATTTAACTCCATGACTTCATAATGCTATGAAAAAGTCACTTTTGGAAAACCATTTGAAAACTGGTTTTTTAAAAAGTCACGCATTTATCCTGGTTATATGGAACTGCATAGCCCCGACTCTGTTTCTGATAGCGTTCAGAAACTGATAGCTCTGGGCACTGAGAGCCAACAACCACTAACACCAGGAAGAGACAGAATTTACGTGCCTCCTAATGATTAAAAACACTACCACTAGAAGTAGGAATTCCAAAAGATAAAAAATAAAAATCTAACCCTATCAAATGTCTACATGGTTTGTCTATAGGGTAACTACAACCACGTGGCTATCTAATCTTAATTAAAATTAAAAAAAAAATTTAGCTTCCGATCTTGGTAGCCACATTTAAAGTGCTCAAATGTCACAAGTAGCCACAATGCCCATCTCATACACAGACTACTTCCACTACCACAGAGTTTTATTTGTATCTTCTGTACTAGTTTAAAGGAAATACAGAGGAGGCAACCTGATAAACTGCATTTCAAGGCAATGCAGTTGATAAAATCCACACTGGGAAACTCAACGTATCAAATATTTGCAGTCTCAACAAATATAAGGAAGAAAAAGAAGTAGGAGGGAGGATTATATATTAAGAGATTTTAAAGGCAAAGAAAAAAATAGTAATAAGAAACACAGGTAAAACTAAGCTATGATGTTTAGTGACATAAAACTTGGAGGATGAAATTGTGAAGAAAAGACAATACATGATCAGGAATGTGGATGCCTCTCCTCTCACAAGAGGAAGGGTTCTATGATGGCTGATTACACCAAATTCTGCTGGGCAGCAGCAAGCCTTAATTTCTTGACCTAACTGATGGCCACAGGAATATTCACCTGCCAATTCATTGTGTTAAACAATTGTTTTTACATGACTTTCTCTACTTGTATTCAATTTTACCCTTAAAAAATGGCTAAATAAAATTTCAAACCCTAGTATGAAAAAACCCCCCAAAAACCCAAAGTACATAAGTGCAATCAGAGGATTACAATAGCTATTATGAGAATAATTAGGCCTCTTTGAGGAGTGATAGTTAAGCTAAACTGTATGACAAGAGGCCAGCCTAGGGAAAAAACATTTCAAAAGAGAAAATGAGGAGTCTTAAGATGTTAGGATTAAGCCTTGCCAAGTTTGAAAACTGAGTGAATTCCAATGTAACTGAAGTGATGAGCTGAGGGAAGAGGACTGACCTGTGTCAAGGTAGAAACTATACATGTGAATATAGACACTGGTATATCCTAAATATAAGACACAAAATATCTCAAATATATAAAAACTTATGTGCAATGCTTCCAAAGAAAGTTACTGCTACTATCTACACTAAAGTTGAATATTTTCCTTTCTTCCATGGCACATGCACATGGTTTAACTAAACTGAGAACATGCTATTTCTCACAATGCATAAAATACCCACTCTGGTATTTGAAAAAATGACCCGTTCTCTTATAAAAATAAAACAATGACAGGTACTGTAATCAAATTATGTTCTTTTAGAACAACTGCCTAATTCTTTCATTGCAATTTGTGTGCATGTGTGTTGCTGGGGATTGAACCCAAGGCCTCACACACACTAGGCGAGTACTACACAACTGAGCTATACCTCAACCCTCCCCTTTTCCTCCCACCAAATCTTACATGAGTTAAACATACTACCCAGCTTTACCTCCTCTAAATCCCAATCATGTGGCGCCTCCACAAGAAATCTGGAGCAGTCCAAAGAGTCAGCTTTGTGCTTACACCCTCTGTCAGGCTGGTTGACACGAAACAACCCTCCAAGCTCTTCTCGTGTGTCTCCATCTTCTTCTTCATTATCCTCTGTCACTAAAGATACCATCAAGAGAGAAAAGTGAGAACAAAAACGTCAACCCTAGAGGACTCAGACTCTTCAACCAATCAGACCACACATCTTAGAATACAAGGGACTACAGGTCCCTTTTTGTGGTTGGTATAGTGGTGACTGTGAGCCAGTCAGATACCAAGAAGTCACTAACAACAAAAAAAAGCCAAGAGGCTACTGCTTGGCATGTTTGAAGGACTTACCCTCCTTCGAGGCAGCAGAAAAATACTAGGGTCTGGGGAAGGGAAGGGACATTTAAAGGCATAGCTTTAAACTATTATAAAACATGCAGGCCAGTGGCTCACACCTTTAATTCCAGCTACCTGGAAGGCAGAGATGAGGGAGAGCAATCATAGCATAAGGTCAGCTTCGGCAAAAAGTCCAGAGACCCCATCGCAACCAATTAAAGCTAAGTGTGGTGGTATGCACCAGTCATCCCAGGATGCAGAAAGCATAGCTAGGAGGATCATAGTCCAAGTCAGCCTGGGCATACACTGGAGACCCTATTTAAAAACTAAGGGTTGGGGGTTATGACTTAAGCAGCCTAGGAAGACCCTGAGTTCAACCCTTAATGCACACACACACACACACACACACACACACACACACACTCTCTCTCTCTCTCTCTCTCTCTCTCTCTCTCTCTCTCTACAGAAAAGCTACTATGAAAAGTGTTGAGTTTCTAATCACTACAAATCATTAGGTAAAATCTAATGTAAATGAAAATTGGATTTATGATTTTCTAATTAGATGTTCCACTTCAAATTGTCTTATCACGTGGCAACTGATGAGCACAATACAAAGCTCACCACTATTATTTCTACATTATATTTTTCCAAGAAAAAAAAAAAAACATACAGGCAAGTTTAACAAACTATGAAATCAGAGAACAAGAACATAAAGGAGACAGAATGTTACACAGGGTTTTCATTCTAGAGAAGAAAAAAAAAGATATTTATAGGCAGAAATATTTCCCAGCATTAAATTCTACAAAAAATTTCTCATGGACTTTTTAAATAGGGGGTATGAAATAACATAATGAACAGAATTCTCATCAAAAATTTTACAGCAAACCCATAAATCCATTTCATATGACCAAGCTGTGGTCCTCATTAGTTGATAATTAAAAAAACATCTCCCGAATATAAAACATGACAGTCAGGAATCATGGATTTCAAAAGTACTACCCTAATCTTCCAACCAATTCTCTCACCTCCCTTTCACAATATAATCTAAGAACTAAAATATTTCTAGTTCTGAACCAGAGCTCCTTACCTGTCCCATAAACAAGCTTTCGAAGGTTTGGAGTTGCCTGTTGCTGCCTCAGAAAGGCCTCTGCTGCCTTCCTGGAAAGGTCTTCCTTCCACCTGAGGGTACCTGAAAGACCAAGACCAACATCCAGTTATATCTGCTTACTTGTCCTCCTTGCTTCAAGCTTGTAACTCACTCATCCCAAAATGCACTCCATTCTTGACACAGTATTTGAACAGTTAACAAATACACAAATGGTAGACCCCCAAATGTACATATCTTCCTGACAGCAACATTTTGAGTGCCAAGTTTATAGAAGCAGCAAGTTAAACTCACACACGCTTGAAGTTTCTGTGGAAGAGGTTTTACCTGAAGTTTCTATGGAATGGTTTTCTTCCTTATAATCTTCTTCCTCTTTGAGTAAATCTTCAATATCACTGGTCTCATCAATTAAGTTCTCTGACTCCAGTTTCTGCCCACTGCCTGCTTGACAAAGTTTTTCCCTAATGACTTCTCCATTTTCTGAGTCCTCTTCCTCTGAACTAAGTGAAGAACTTTCTTCTGATTCATCTTCAGATGCAAACACCTCTTCAGCTGTGCAATGACCAGAATCAGAAGTGGGTGGGGCTTTTTCCATCAGCAAAGACTTCTCCAGATTCAGATGGTCACTCCAACAATTACCTGGCAACAGTCTTGCTTCACTAGCTTTTCCAACACCCTTTGATTCCAAAATGCACCTCTCTCTTTCTGCTCTGGAGTCTTCTTCACTGCTTTCATCAGCTTCCTCTGCTGCCCCTTCTTCCCCTGAGCTCCTCTCAAGATCATCATCACTATCAGCAAATGCTGGCAAATCCACCTCACTGTCTTCTTCCAGCTCAAGTTTCTGCCGCTTGACACCCTTAACTGTAATATACTTATACTTGGTCATTTCAGCATCTTCTTCCTCCTCTTCTGCTTCATCATCACTAGAGCCATTTTCCAACCTGTCACCGTCAGACATTTCTTCATCATCTTCATCGCTGTCTCCAGACTCATTTTCCTCATCTCCAAAAATGGCTTTTCGGCGCACACGACCAGTTTTCACATCCAGTTGCTTTTCCTCTTTTGGCATCCACAGCCTATGTTACCAAGTAAATGCAAAATAATTCAATTTGAGTAACTGGCTAATCTACAAGTGGCAATATAGTCAATAAAAAATGTAAAGAAACAAAATATCGAGGAATGGTTTAAGTTGACACGGCATAGAAAAAAATGATTTGACAAACACTGGATTAGTTAATAAGCAAACTCATGCACAATTCCTTAACACCACACTTGTGAAGAACTTACAGAGAGAATAAAAGGATAACTGGTTTGTTGTTTTTTTAAAAAACGAAAACAAATCTAAATTCAGAAAAACTTTCCAAAAGGGAAGCTAGTGTTTAGCAGATCTTTTGGAAACTGATTTCATGCCCAAAGCAGGGAGAGGACAGTTTAAGCCTTGACCATCCTGTTGTGTCAGAAAGCAAGATGTGCTCAAAGAGTGATGGCAATGTGCCTAAAGGGCATAGCGAATAGACTGAACGCTCTGGTTACCAGATCTGGGAGAACACAGCCATCTGAAAAAATGACAGTAATGAAATAGAAATACATGGAATAAAACAAAAGTTCACTAGTCACCAGTATATAGAAATCAGAGAGGAAGTGAAAGCTCTTTGTTTAAAGAATGCCAACTCAGGCTGGTGGAGTGGTTCAAGTGCTAAGAGCACCTGCCCAGCAAGCGTAAGGCTCCGAGTTCAAACCCCAATACCACCAAAAAAACAAACAAAGCAAACCCTAAAGAATGCCAGCTGGTGCCAGGCATGGTGGCACATGCCTCTAATCTCAGCACTTGGCAGGTAAAGACAGGAAGATCAAGAGATTGAGGCCTATCAGGGCACCATGTCTCAACACACCAAAAGCTGGGACATAAACTCAGTGGTAGAGCACTTGCCATGTGCAAGGCCCTGGGTTCAATCCCCAGTACTGCAAAGAACAAACAGACAACAAAAAAAGGATGTCAGCTAACAAATGTAAAAGAAATGACCAATTAAGAAAATTGTCATTTTGAAGTCATCAATTAAAAACTACACAAAGCTAGCACTAGATGTAAAAGTATAAAAACATCAATTATAAAAAACTAAAAATTGCACTGTAACTAAACAAGTCAGAATATGCCAATTAATAAAATGATGACACATAAAGACCATATAAAAAATGGAAATTCTCAGGATATAGAAATAAACATTTTTTCATGTATTGTAATTGTTAGAAAAGACTATCCTCACAGAAAAGATGACTAGAATAATGAAAACTAAATTATCTCATTACAATAATGGTAGAGTAATGGCTGCCTTTTAGTGAATATGTCTTAATCTATTAGGTACCATGCTAATTGTGCATTCTATAATAAATTTCAATTATTTTCAGATTAATCAGGAGGCATAAACCAATACAAAAAAATCCAATGTTTAGCCCATATTCCCTACATATAAAGGTATACATGTTCCCTACCAAACTGAGAAATAAGCCATACATCAAAGGACATCCACCAATGGAAATACAACACCATGTAAGGTAAACTTATTTGCAGGAATGAGGTATGTGGGCCTGGACAGCACCTGAATAAACTCCTTGACTCTGTTCTAGAATTTTGGGCACCAAAAGATAGCAAGTGGCCTCAGGTCTCATAGGAAACCCTACAGCAACCTATGTAAAAAATCTTATAGTATTTGAGGAGTATTTTGAGTATTTCTGTTGAAAATGAATCTTGTATTTCATTTTGAGAAAACACTAGCATATAATGTTATGGAAATAAAAAGCACCCTGAGAAACACATGAACATACATACCAAAACAAAAAACCTGGAATAAACCTCACCAAAACAACAAAAAAAAACCATATTAATTATGGTACAATGACAGGTGATAAAATCTTCTGTAACATCGTAGACTTACCCTTGGTTATCTATATCTTCTGATCCCAGAGGTTTCGAATCAGAAAAAAGTGTCACTCTGCTTGACGCCATCTTGGCATCAATAGTGGAATGGGTAGAAATGAGACTCTGAACCAGTTCTTGGGTAGGCCCTGACTCCTCCTGTCAAGGCCACCAAGAAAGGGCAAGTGAGAAAAGCAGGAAGATTCTGGAAAGACAGACTGGTTTCATCAGTAACTCAAAATTATCCTAAACATAGTTCCTAAAACCCTTTCTTACTGCCTCAAAAACTAGAAAATTCTTGAAACAAAGCTCAAAATTGATCGCCATTATCATTAATTAAACTTCTACAAAGCTCATGAGTATATCAACTAATAACCTAAATACTTAAGTTAGGAAACTCAGGTTCTAATACTAAAGCAAGCACTATTTTTTTTTTAACCCAATAAAATCCCATTTCAAAAAGAAAAAAAAAAAATCTGAAGTCCCTTTTTAAGAAGCAGAATGAGAACACTATTCTAAATGAAAAATGAAAAATGCCAAAGAGAGCTGGAAAATACACCGGTTTTGTAGATCTACCCAGAATTGTGGATCTGAGAGATACAGAGAACAAAACTCTGACTTTCTGCTTGGTACAATGAAGCATTCGTTATATTCTATATATTTACAATGTGCATTTGGACCTTTATGGTTAAGTATGGATAAAGAGAAAAGCTTTATTAAGTAAAAAGTGAATATATTACTTGATTTAAAAACAGATTTTTTTTTAAAGAATCACTAGAATTCAGAGCAAAGACTCCCCTCTTACCAGTGTCCGTGAACCGTGGCTGCCACCAAGGTCAACATACACAGCATCTTTATCATACAGCACACCTCCAACTCCAGAGAGAGGTGCATAAACCAACTTTTCCTTCTCATTTAAACAGCGCTTCTTCTGCTGTTCAGGAAGAGCACAGGGGTCTGGAAGGAAACTGACTTCACTTACAGCAAAATCACCTACACCTGGAAGACAGAACCCAGGAAGCAGCTTCAGTTGAAAAGAGTGAACAGTGCCAACCATTGGCAAAAATGCCTTATAGTCCAAAGGCTTAAAGCATGACACTAAAACAGGTATCATTCAACAGTGGAACTGTGTCATCTGCTAGATGACACAGTATCCACTCAACACTATTTCTAGCCAATGCACAGCTGGGCTAATTTTAAAACCTCCAACCAGCCGAGTGACGGTGGCTCATGCCTGTAATCCTAGCTACTCAGGAGGCAAAGATCAGGAGGAAGCAGTTCAAAGCCAGCCTGGGCAAATAGTTCCACAAGATCCTATCTCGAAAAAACCCATCACAAAAAACGGCTGGTGGAGTGACTCAAGGTGTAGGCCCTGAGTTCAAGCCCAAGTACCAGGAAAAAAAAAAAAATTCCAACCAAAGTAATCTGCTTTGTTTGGTCTTTTTTTTTTTTTTCAGTTTTCCTGAGAATGAAGCCATTCCAAGAGTTCTATAAATATAATGTGCTTTACAACAAGAGAATACCTGGCATGTGGATTTGACTTTTATTTTTCAAGTGTGCTCCTCTTAAGTAACCATAAATTGACACCTTTCTATCACACTTGATGTTTGTTCGGATATCCTCGGGGTTTGTCAAATCTTCCATCCTAGAAAAATAAAACACAATCACATGGCAAAAACAAATGTAAATAGTTCTTTTATTTCCCTTCATGGATTGATGCCTTTTGTCATTCTTGATCATGGTCTGGGAGTGTGGATCAGTAGTAGAGTGCTTGTTTGCATTCATGAGGCTCTAGTTTGATCCACAGCACCACACACACAAAAAAAATCTTCTTTCACTAAGCATTTTGTTTAGAAAATGAGAAAACACAGAAGCAGCATGGTTCACCATATACCACAATAAAAGGACAGCATCTCACATAGGCTCTGTGTGATAGATATTCCATGCAACAGACCTCTGCATGGAGTTATAGCAGAGAACATGTTCAGAAAAACACTTCAGGGAAGAGGGTTAACCTATGTTCTGAGTATTTCAGTGTGGCTTGGATTCTAGCAAGAAGAGGAGAACATGCCAGCCTGAGAAAACATGAAGAAAAGCATAAAGGAAGCAAAGTGAAGGCACATTGAGTGACTGGAACACCAAGGCCCAAGGACAGCATCACTGGAAACTAAGGCTCCTTCAAAATTCTCTCTCTCTCTGCTGCTGGGGATCTAATCAAGGATCTATGCATGTCAGGCTAGCTACCACTGAGCTCCACCTCCAGTCCCATCTCCCATTTTTCTAAACATCTCATAATTTACTCCCAAAGGCAGAGCATCTTTCAGTGATAGCACAAAAGGAACACTATTATTATGATTTTTTGCAACCTTTTTAGCTTTGAAATACATAGGCCAGGAAGAAGTTTACATTCACTTTTTTACCTGTCTGCCAAGACATAAGGGTGAGAAGTTTGCCAAGTGAGAGGCCTAAACTTCATAACTGTAATAAAACGGCCCAGATTGTGAATTTCTTGGTTCTGATACTCTCCATGTACCATTCCAGAAAGGTAGAACAGCTTGGCACCCTAAAAAAATTTAAATTAAAAATGGAATTTCAATTAAATTCATGTCAATACCATACCAAAATGAAAGCCCTAATAAGAAGCAATCCTAACAAGGGAGATCCTAGCAAAGCCACTGTCCTGATGCTCCCAGAGCCTGGCTAGCTTCTTCAGGACTTATCATATGAGGGCCTTGTCGGAGCAGACTTCTCACTAGCATCCGTATGAGCATAGCAAGAAGAAGTCAGTGAGGTTCTCAGGAAAAGAAAGGATTCTGTCATTGATGGACCACAGTGGTATGGGAAGGAGGAGTAGCTGGTCCTGGTCTTGATTAGAAAAAACTTCTGATATACTCTGTTAAATCATGACTCCAAAACAGAATGAGACAGTCTTGTAGGTGTGGTACAGGCCCAAATCAGATACAGCAAGGGGCCCAAATAAAGACTATCTTAAGGGATATATTCCAAGGAGTGGGAACAGATAAATAAAAGAAACTCAGGAGGTAAATCTTATAAAGATGTTTATTTATGTTTCTTCACTCTGGCTATTTTTAAAGGATTACAGTGTTATTACCCAACAATAACTTCTCTTCCTACCGGGTAGACTTCTGTCCAGAACCTGTGTTTCAATCGCTTCTTTGTCTTTTTTAGTTGCTTATTATGCTTGAAGGAGTCCAAGTGGGTGAGAACTCCCATAATTTTAGGAAAGCCATGTACTTGACAGATATTTAGAAACTCAAATGTTTCCATTTCAAACCCAAAGCTGGCATCTATAAGCATCAGCACCTAAAAACAGAACATAATTTCTCAGTGAAGTTACCAAAACAGATCATCTAGACCAAAGGTCAGAAAAGCATGGCTCATGGGGCAAACCCTGCCCATCACTTATTTATGCAATTTAAGTTTTATTGGAACATAGCCATATCAATTCATTTGTGTATCTACAGCTGTTTCTGCACTACAACTGCAGGGTAAAGTGGCAACACAGAAAGTACTTGATCCACAGGCCTTGAAATAGTTACTCTCTGTGTTTTGTAGAAAAGTTTGCAAACTCCTGCTCTACACTCACCAAGTGATTCAAAGATTACCATGACATGAGAAAATATCACCCTTTGCCTGCACAATACCTATCAGGACATAAACTTCCAACTCAAAAATAAATGAGAAAGGACTCAAAAAAAGGCTGGGCCTGATTTGGACCTTAACTGAGAAATCCCAACTTTAAGAAATAAAGGTTTTTATAAAGTACTTGCAAGTAAAATAACAAGATTCTAACAGGGGAACCAAATAACAGGTTTCTGACAGCCAAAAAATGGGAAGAAGCGATTTAATAAAAAAATATTTAAAATGAGCCTAGTATCAGTGGCTCACGCCTGTAATCCTATCTACTTGGTAGGCTGAGATCAGCAGGATTGTGGTTTGAGGCCAGCCCAGGCAAACAGTTTGTCAGACCTCCTCTCCAAAATAACCAGTACAAAATGAACTGGAGGTGTGGCTCAAGCAGTAGAGTAACCTGCTATATAAGCATGAAGCCCTAAGTTCAAACCCCAGTCCCACCAAAAGAACAATTTAAAAGTACAGCAAACCAATCTTTTGCTTTTATTTTCTCATAAGAAAAAAACCAACCTGTTTTTTGTATGAAGTAGGAAAACTCTATCTTATATGTTAACTTATACCATGCAAGTACTCAGAAAAAAATTTTTTTTTCTTAAAGGTATCAATTTAAGCCAGGTGCAGTGGTTTACACCTGTAATTCTAGCTACTTAGGAAGCAGAGACTGGGACAATCAGCCCAGGTAAAAAGTCTGCGAGACCCCACCTCAACAAATAAAAAACTGGGCATGGTAGCATGCAGCTGTCATTCCAGCTATGCAGGAAACAAATAGGAGGATGACGGTCCAGGCCAGCCAGGCACAAGTGTGAGACCCTGTCTCAAACATAACCAAAGCAAAAAGAACTCGGCATGGGTCAGGTGGTAGAGCGCCTGCCTACTAAGCACAAGGACCGGAGTACAAACCCCAGTACCAAAAGGCTGCCAGTTTAGAACTGAGTCAAAAGATAGCAAAGTTATGATAAATAGTAATCTATGAAGAGAGCATAAAGATTTCAAACTTCAAATAGGTAATTCATTTCAGAGATTTCTAAGCCATCTCTGTGTTCATCATTCTATACCGAACTACAAAGGAAAAAAACAGGAACACCTATCTGATTAACCTAGGGAACATTCCACAATTCTAAACCACAAAATACTGAGTGCTATGAGAAAGCCACTGAGCCACAGGCTGAGGAGAATTCTCAAATGATACTGGAATAAGGTGAAGGAGAACACTACCAGATTCAAAATGCAGTCCATGTATTTAACTTCACCATAATCTTTAAGAGAAGAGATCCCATCCTCAAACAAATTACTTAGCTGCTGGGAGTCACAATTTCATCCTATGTAAAGAACAGACAATGCCTACTCACTGTATAGATATGTAAGCTAAATTTATAGAAAGCTATTAGTGCAGTGCCTAAGAATCTAAGAAATGGTACCTATTAATATATACTTACATATTATGTATGCTTACTAATGAGCTTTCATCACCTATCTTTATTAAAAGTTTTCTCCATCTTTCTAAAAGTTTACTTTTAGGTTTTAGAATACATTTCATCATGCACATTCCATTTTTATTATAGCAACAAAAATTATTATAATCAATTCAATCACATCTCATGTATCCTTCATGATACTCCCCATTTATTAGCAATCACAAAAAAATTCTTCCCTATAATATGGATAAATAATCCATTGCATTGTTGTAACCTCCATCAGAAACCCAAGCTCCCAGATCTTACCAGATCTGCTACTTTAGCCAGATCAATCATCATACTAATGTCACACCCACATTCAATGATGGTAAGTCTGCGCTTTTTACCTGTAAGTTAAAAGATGAAAAAATTTAAAAATCCTGAAAAGACTCTATTAACTCTAATAAACATTATAAAATTGCATCCAGTAAGACACCATATACACTTACAGGAATGCGCTAGAGGTTCATTTTTATAAGAAAAACCCAGATAAATTAAAGTGTTTAAATAAGTAAAATTCTGATTGGATAGGGTTCATAATGACCATGATCTTGTTGTTCAGCAAGGGATCAATGCCTTTATCAATTTTCCTGTACTCCACTATAAGTAAAGGCATCCTCAAACCTAATACAACAGGATGTTCATAAAACAATAACTATTTTTCAATAAAGTAAAATGATCAAGAAGATAACAATGCCCTAAACATAAAGAAATGCCTCAGTCCTACTATAATAATTACCACAAAGAAACGTCAGGTTCTACCACTGTCATTTTGGGAATTTGTTTCATTTTCTCTCAAACTTAGAAAGGTCACCATTATCAAATGCAGACAAATTCTCATTAGAAAAAGAGCCACAAGAGTGTGGCTTTAAGGCAGGCAGGTGTGCAAGCAGGTACTTATTATCAATGAATGTGACCATGATGAGCAGACCAAGCTGTCCAGCCCTGATAAGCCTTTCCAAGGAGCACATTTGCCCAAGTTAACCAAGCAGTCAGAATAAGGTATATAACTATATCATTATCTCTTGGAACCTATCCTTTTCTGATGCTACAGGCAATTCATTAAAAGCGAAAGAACACAGTACGGTGTGACAATATTGCCATAACAATTTCTGCTCAAGAAAACAACAAAGACACATATGTCCCTCAGGCAACACCACCCGCCAGGTCAGTGCTGTGACAGCATCCCCTACCTGACACAATTGTCACAGGGCCTCTGATCTCTGTCAACTTCTGCCTGGTAAAATTCCGAATGAGGCACTGTATCAAAGTGCTCTTTCCAACTTTTGGAGGCCCCATCACCACTACCACTATTGGTGGAGGCTCTAATGGAGTTCGATCAACCACTGGAATGTGATGCTTTTTTGTCTTTAAATCCTGAGTCCTATTTGTTTAAAAAAAAAAAAAAAGTTAAGATCACTTTCAAAATATGAAAAGATAAAATGTCTCAACCTTATAAGTATATATTTTAAAGAGAAGAGAACAGACAATATATGGGTATAATTAACTTGTTAATTGATAACTTCTTACCCCAATCCAAATAAACTGCTTTTCAGTAATGAGTTGAAAAGTAAAGAAAGTTGAAAAAAAAAAAAAGAGCTGAAAATTAAATACATTCTAAATCTAATTTCTTTGAGTTGAATTTTAATAGTGTGAAAGAAAACAAAACGAGCAGAGGCTTTGGAGCTAAATCTGGCTGTTTTATTACTTGTGATTTGGAATAACTTGCTCTCTGAATCTGTTTTCTTATTCATAAAATAAGGACAAGAGGAATTCCTGCTATCTTAATGATGTTGGGAGAAATTATTAAATAATGTTTAAAGAGCACTGCTGCATATATAGCAAGGACTCCCCAAGTACGGCTATTTTATTATTAACTATCACAATTTTAGTATTTCATATTACAATTATATGAAAGATATACAGGGAGGAAAAAAGCACACATCACCCAGACCAAAAAAAAAAAAAAAAAAAAGCAACCAATGGACAAACGCTGGAGGCAAGACAGCTTCTGAGGGAAAAACCATATAACAAGCATATGTTCTTCAAAGCTGGATTAAACTCATGAAGCCAAATGCCATCTGTACGAAATGGAAGGACTACCACGCTCCAACTAATCTCATACCTGTGAAAGGATCGAGCCATCCGCACAGCAGACTGAACTGCAAAAGCTTTGGGGTTTCTTTTCCGGGCATCTTCTTCATCTCCAAGTTGGAGATCTTGCAGATGCCGTTTCTTTTTTTTCTCAGCTTTGGGTCCGCTGTGCTTCTTTCTGTGTTTCTTCTGATCCTTGGCCTCCATGATATCTGATTTAACAACTCACAAATAATTCTAATCTATGTGGGAAGAAATGGGAAGGTAGGGGAAGTATTTTACAATAAAGGCCAACACCAGAGGAAAAACACTACATTTCACTTCTTTTTCTTTATTTTCAGTACTGGGGTTTGAACTCAGGATCTACACCTTGAGCCACTCCACCAGTCCTTTTTTTGTGATGGTTTTTTCTTTTGAGATAGGGTCTCGCAAAACTATTTCCCCGGGCTGGCTTCCAGCCACGATCCTCCTGATCTCTGCCTCCTGAGTAGCTAGGATTACAGGCGTGAGCCACCAGCGCCCGGCTCACTTACTTCTTTACGAAGACATGATGCATTTTTTTCACCGGACAGGGGAAGAAACTGCTTAATATCATCCTCAAATTCACTTCTTTGTTATGCCATAAATGAGTTACCTCTGCCAAGGTTACTCTTTATTCTTAAGTTACATTGTATTCATCCTAACTGTCAATGTCAGCAGTGATCCTTTCTGTGATCAGGGAAATATTCTATCTGTATTTTTCAATACAGTAGCTACCGGTCACATGTGGTTACTGAGAATCTCAAATGTACCTAGGGAAACTGAAAACATGAATTTTAAAGTTAAATTCTAAATTTAAACAGCCACATGTGAGTTGTGACCACTGTACTAGACAATTCAGCCCTAGACATCAACTGAACAGATGAAGCGATTTCCCAACATAAAACTTAAATTTTAATTAAAAGTTTATGATACTTTAATGACCGTCCAATCTCCTGCACTGGCCAGACGTATAACTACCGTGCTCCGCTCTTTTTTGCTGGGAAAAGCACAATTTGGAAGAGACAGCGCTGGACAAGATCCAGGTAACCTGCTGGTTTACAGCGCCCCGCAACCTCCGCCTCGCCACTCCGCAGCGACCTGGAAGCTCCCTCCGGCCGGCAGGAAACGCGCCCTCACGCCACGCAGCTGGACAGCAGATCGGGGCACCCCTCGCGCCCCACCGCCCTCCCACAGCCCCCGAGATCCCACTGATGCCTCCCGAGCCCGCGGCGGTTACCAGGCTCACAACTGCTACCGCTCAGCAAAGCATGAGCGCCACCGGAAGCGGAAACTCGTCCACACGCACGGACTCGCCGGTAGGAAACAAGAGACAGAGGAAAGAGAGTCCCTGAGGGACGACTTTCAGGACACAACCGGAAGGAAGGACAGTAGTTGACTGAGAGCTGCGCAGGCGGCTACCGGAAGGTTCTGTGCACCGTGCGGTGCTCCGCCTCCTCGTCCCGCCTCGGCCGGGAAATCCCTGTTGCGGGCCGCCTGGAGACCACCTGCCCGCTGCGCGTCTTCGGTGGAGCTAGCGCCGGGCTTGTCGAGTCCCTGACAAAGGCCAGGGTGTCAGTAGCTTGGCATGGTTTACCTGGTTCCGTGTGGAAGCCTGAAGGAGGTGCATTTAGTCCTGGTCACCCGAAGGCCCCGCCGAAAACCTCGGGTCCACAGCGCCCCACTCGACCAAAGGACTACCACTCCATTGAGGGTCCGTTTGCGCATCGTTGAAGATGACGGACGGAGCTGGGAGAGTTCTCGGATTCTTTAGTGCTTTACTACCCGGTTGCCTGGACGACAGACTGCAGGCCGGGATAAACAGCTCCACCTAGACTCGCCTCTGGGAAAAGGGCTTTCCCCGAGGGGACGCAGCAGCTTGCAGTTTTCTTCGCAAGCAGCTTTGCCTTCCATTGGCTTCTCCCGTGACCACCTGAGGAAAAGCCCTGAATTCCTCTAACTGCCATCTCAGCTACTTGGGGTTCCTAGAAAGTTGCTACGGTGCCCAAAGACGGATCTTCCTCTTGACTCGGAGGGTTTTTCAAAGTTTTTCAAAACAGTTCCACCAGTGCAGCCGAGGCTTAATTCTATCCCACAAAACTAGACCCACTGTAATATTGAGACCCTCATGCTTCATTCCTTTCACAGCGAGTTGTCTCGGCCTTGGCATTCACACGGATAAACTGCGTGTACTGCACGCTCCCCATCGTGCTGTACTAGGGAGTCTACCTAAAAGGACACACACTTCTCTCATGCGTGAAGTGCTTAGAATTTTATAACTCCTCCAACACTACCTGCCTTTTTGGAGATTTCAGTATGCAGGTAGATAATCCTTATAATCGCCTCAGTCCCAGGAAGCCTGCTCTTATTCAGCTTCTCAGTCCTCCTCACCTCCTCCACCATACCCTTCACCTTGTCAGGTAGGACTGCAACCCTGCAGCACCCATTCTGCCACACCACCTCATGTCTTTCTAGGCTGCTTCTTTTAGTGTCCTGAACTCAAGGCTCTTGTAACCTTACCGGCACCATCAGTTCAGACCTACTACCTGGTCACTGTCTCTTTGTCCCTAATGACTTCTCCCTTACTAGTAAGCTAGCAGAAATACCATAATCAGTTGTGTATGCAACCCCTCGTACACCTCAACTCACCCACTTCCCTATCACCTCATCATCTGCTTAGTAAGATGGGAGTCCTGGATAAATCCAATTCTCCATCTATTCCAGCTACAGCAATGCAACAAAGTATGGCTGAAGGAAAACAGAACCATGCCAGTCATCCTCACTTTAATAATTCTGTCTCTGCAGGGTCTGTTCAATTTCTCATTCTTAGGCTGGTGGAGTGGCTCAATTAGTAAGAGCACCTGTCTAGCAAGCCTGAGACCCTGAGTTCAAACCCCAGTGCCACCAAAAAAAATTCAATTTCTCATTCTCCAAATGAGTATATCACATCTCCTACCCTCTCCTCTTCTCCCCCTCCGTATTCCTTGCTTCCTGCATTGGTAAGAAAATGGAAGTGGCCAAAACAGGTCTTCCTCAGACTCCCTCCACCACATTGGCCCATCTGCCTCTATTGTCTCCCTCTCACTATACATGAATCACTGCTGTGTTCGTGTATATCATCATCTTTACTGTTCAGTGTCACAACAGCCAGTCTATTATGCTGTCTCCAAAATCAATTTTCTCCTTTTTGCTCAACTATTCCCATCATCATACAGTGTAACTTTATTTAATCTTCAAATAAACTCCTCTTGACCTCATTTTCCATGCCAATAATCACATCTTTTCTTTGCATCCTTTCATAGCAAAAATTTCACAAAAGAATTGTCCATATACTCTTCAGTTCCATGAGGGAGTTTTAAAAGAGATGCAACTGTCTTATATCATATTGGGGTGGTGGGTACATGACTTTCCTGTCAAATCCATAGAATTGTACATTATGAAGAGTGAACTTTAATATCTGAAAAATTTAAAAATCAAGGAGGAGTTCTGGGGATCCCAGGATGGGATGCAGACTGACAAATGATCTAACTAAACTCTAAACATGTGATTGAATTCCACAGAAGAGGGTGTAGGAAAAAGTAGTTTTGACTGAAAACTGAAAGAAGAAACTGTACACAAACACAATGCTATTCATGGTAAATGTGTTTTTCAAAAGAATACATGCTAATATTTCCAGAATGGTTTCATTTATATATTGAGGCTGAAAAATGGATGGTGGTTTGTGAAAGCAAGAGTTCTTGCTGTTGGAGAGAGAGTTCACAGATAAGCAAGGGGACAAGACTGTAGTGAATGCTGGGAATGGGATAAAATTGAGACATTAGTCTGTGTGTATTATATATTCTAACTGTCTACTCAGCTAAGAAGCAACAATAACTAGCAGTGAGCATACCCAGCTCCCAGATCTTGCATTCTAATACAATTCTACAATAAATGAAACAAAGTCTCCTTAGAGAAGTGACTCACTGTAAGGCTAGTCTGGAAATACATGAGGAGCCTGGAGTATATTATAGTGCCAGAAAGTAATAAAGTACTAAAACCCAAAGGATTGTGTGATCATTTGTTTCAGTTGTCAACTTGACTAGATTGGAAGATGCATAGAGAACTGGATAAACATTAGTTTGGGTTTGTTTATGAGGGTGTTTTTGGAAAACATTGGCATATGAGTCAGTGAACCAAGTGGGAGAAACTCACCCAAACACCTGTTCTTTTCCCAGGTGGAACAGAAAAGCAGAAGAAGGGAGAATTAATCTCTCTCTCTCTCTCTCTCTCTCTCTCTCTCTCTCTCTCTCTCTCTCTCTCTCTCTCTCTCCTCTCTCTCTCTCCCTCCCTTTCTCTTTCTCTCCTCTCTCCCTCTTCTTTTTCCTCCCTCACTCCCATTCTTCTTCTGAAGTGGGATGTGGTTTCTTGGATTGTCCTTGAACATCAGACTTCAGGTCCTTTGGCCTTTGAACTTTGGTATTTGCACTAGTGGCTCTTGAAGACTCTCAGGCCTTCAGCATCAGACCAGAGACTGAATCATCAGTCTCCCTGATTCTGAGGTTTCTGCCTTCTTGGACTGAGTCATTGCTACCATATTCTCTGTCTCTTCAGCATGCAGGACACCACTGTGGAACCCTTCAACCCCTGTGCTTTTGAGTTAATTTCCTAACAAACCATACATACAGGTTTGGTTCTGTTTCTCTGGAGAACCCTGATTTATAAGGTATGTTAAAGGGTCCATAACTAACTAAAAGAACTTACAATGGCCAGACTGGAGCAGGGTCTGCGTGGGAGTCTTAACAGTTGCCATGTGATTGATAGTGGAGTCATGTGATTGACAGGAGAGTCTGAGGAACAGGAGTTAGGGTGGTTACAAAAATAACCAAGAAATTGGTATGGTCTGGAGTAGTGGCTCATGCCTGTAATCCCAGCTACTTGGGAGGCAGAGATCAGGAGAATCCAGGTTCCAGGCCAGCTTAGGCAAAGAGCATGAGACCCTATCTGAAAAAAATAACCTAAAGCAAAAAGTGCTGGAGGTGTGGCTCAAATGGTAAAGTGCTTGCCTAGCAACTGTAAGGCTTTGAATCCAAACCCCAGTACCATCATAAGGAAAGGAAAAAGAAAGAAAAAGGAAAAAGGAGAAAAAGGAAAAAGGAAAGGAAAGGAGAAGGGAAGGAGGAAGGAAGAGGAAGAAAGGAGAGAAAGAAATTGGCAAAATGTTTAGAAGAAGCACTTGTTGGGTGTGCGGATACACTTAGGGAAAAATGAGGGGTCAAAGGTATTGGTTAGTGGTGGAAGGTATGGAGTACAGATGAGAGGATTTCTGAAAGTGGGGGTAGGGTCAATGTGGGAGGTGGTCATTGGGAACTAGAACTGAGCAAGGGTCTAGGAAGGATTTGGGAGCAAGATGGGGTTCATGGGGGATTAGAAAGTGGGGTTGTTGGGTAAAGTGTGGGGGCTGTCAAGGCCACTCAGTCAAGAAGTCTTGTAAAAGGAAATTTTGGTGAGTGACAGTGGGCCTCCTTGTTCAAACTCAAGACCTCTCACTTGCTAAGCAGGTGCTCTACCACTTAAGCCATGTACCTACCCTGGTGGGGCCCTTTGTTAATTCGTACTTTTAGTTAGAATGGGATCATTTCTCAACTGTATTTGAAGTAAAAATCTTGTGCTAATTTACCACTCAGTGGTTCTGCCCAATAGCCATGTAGTCCTTACCTTGACCTTACATAACCTTTAAATGTCACAGCTAAAGGGACAGGGTAAGCAGAGCTTAGTTTCTATTTGCTCTTGTGTGTGTGTGTGTGTGTGTGTGTGTGTGTGTGTGGTATTGGGGCTTGAACTCAGGGCATACACCTTCAGCCACTCCACCAGCCCTTTTTTTGTGATTTCTTTTTCAAGATAGGGTCTCGTGAACTACTTGCCAGGGCTGACTTCAATCCTGATCTTCCTGATCTCTACCTCCTGAGTAGCTAGGATTACAGGTGTGAGCCACTGGCACCCGGCCTGCATTTCTATTCTCTTGAGCTGAATTGTTTTCAAGTCATGCATTTTATGAACAGTGAATTGTCATTTTACATTCTTTCCCCTTTTCTTTTCCCCTTTAATAATTGTAAATTGAGATCTGTTCACATCTAGAGGCCTGCCAGAGTTTGCTTTTAGCCTTATTGGGAGCTACAAATTTCTTGCAGAATTTGAAACATGTTGGAAAAAAATATACTTCTTCACCCTTACATACAATCAAC